GCGCGACGCTGTTGCGAAGAGATTCTCATGCGAGAAAGGTACCTCCGAACTGACCCGGGCTTGCAGGGCTGGGCTTTGACTGCTTACGTTCCGCACCAGTACTATACTCTCACACTCCTGCTCATAATTTTCTGTATATATGCATACACATACATCCTCCGGCTCATTATTACTCTAGTTGACTCTAGCTATTACTCTTCAGTATTGAATGACATTGCCTGCGCATTCTCCACATGGGCTTAGGGGAGAAATGGCATGTGCCAGTATAGACTGCCGTTCGAATAAGGCAGTCCACAACTAGGCTTCTGTGGGTATGTTGGATGTGGTTCTGTGGATGGTCCGGTATGTCATCGAGGTGTGGCGCCTTGAAGGTTTTGTGCGGGACGACAGCTGATTTAATTACTTGTGACGTCGCTGCCGCGGCGAGCAAACATGGCCCAAACTCTTCCAGAAATTTGTTCCGACATATACTACTACAGCGTTGCAACTCGTGCCAGTAGAACATCCGTTGACCTGCCGCGCCCTTAGCAAGGCGACAGTTGGGCTAAGTTGGTGTCTTGAGGTTGCGAACTTGTCGGGATAATAACAATAGTAGTAAGAATAACAGTCGTAAGAATACTACTGCTACTACTAATAATAATACATGGTAACAACAGTAATCATAGTAGTGGCAGCAGCAACAAGTGGTGGTAGCAGTAGTACCACAACGATGATACCAGCAGCAAATCATAGTAATCGCAATACTGACAACACGAACAAAAATCGCAACAACGCTACTAAGAATATCAGCAAACGTTACTCAACATGGCAAAAATATAAGAGTAGACCCGAATATTCACAAGAATACGCGCAACAGAAAGTGCACTAATGATAATGGCTTTTTCTCTCCTACCTAGTAAGGACGAAGCCCGTATTGCAGGGAATCTTGGTTGAACAGTTGGAAGGCAGCTACGATTTCATAGCTGGTAAGGACGCAGGGTTTAGGGAAGAGAACAGGGCCCACCGGGCCTCTCAGGGTCTGCCTCGCTGGCAGCTTCTTTCCTCGCCAAGATGACAAAACTGTTGATGCCGCCCTTTTTGGGGTACGGGCGGGGCTCATAATAGGTAAGATTTACAAACTTACAAATACATGTCAAAGTGAATATCGTATAACTATCATATTATACGTTACCATAACATATCACACTTGATACATAGCACACATTTTGTTGCCACCTGCATGGCTGAGTACATGAAGCAGGGTGAATTATCCGGCTATATATTAGTACATATGATATTATGATCTGTACTATATGTTGTCAATTCCCGTGGCTACCCGACAACTCTCCTTGCACCGACGCGCGAGCCGTATTTGTCCACCAGCGCCTCCAGGGAGCCGTTGAAATACATGATGATGCAGTACCTTAGCCAGTGGAACACCGACCCTAATATGTAGTATATAAGGGGGGGTTAGGTCTTGGGGTTATTATATGATGTTAAATAGTACATACATATATAGTCTGATATTATATACTATATAAATGTCGATCAGTGCAGATGGGCGACACGATGTAGGCTACGAACAGCAGGATCGCCTGGCCAAAACGCCACTGACTGTGACTTGGCACTCTCATCAGGCTATCTCAGGCTGTATCCTGGCAAAACTCAAGCTGCAAGCTCCTCGAGCACAAGGCTACGCCACAAACAGAACATCCGCGGCCCAGTCCTCCACCAGTGAAATCCGTTCGTCAGAAGCGAAGCCTCTGATGAATCCTAACCTATTCGTTGGGAGCAATGGTGAAATGCTGCGGCATGTCAGAGCACCTGGGGTATGGCTCTGGGCCTCTGGGCTCGGCTGGAACTGTTGCGGTGGTCTGTGCTGCAAACCTCTGCATTGCACCATGAAGGGTGTTGACGTGCCACTAGCAGCACTGCCTTACAGGCTTATGGACGATGTGCACTCTTGCAAAGCAAGCCTCGGAGGACGGGCGGCACATTATGGTTCGGAGTGGAGCTGTCGCAAAGACCGGGCTTGACCGGTGATCGCGTCTTCGAAGAAGTGGGCTAAAATATCCCGAGACCCTCATGCAGCCAAGCCGCCCGCTAAAAGGCTCAAGCCCAATATATAATAACTGCAATCTCCTTGGCACAGCTGTTTCAGCCGACATCCTCCGTGCTGTAGTACTCTTCTGGCTTCGAAGTCGTAAGGCCATGGGGCGGAAGAGCGGCCACCATGTCAGCTGGATGGGCTCCTTTGCCACGTAGCCTTCGTGACTGCACGCGGATCCTAGAAGTTCGGACATCCAGCGAAGCATGATTGTAACTCTAGCCAAGTCTCCACAAAGGCCAATGACAAACAGCACATTGAACACGGCGGATCCGATAATGGTCCCAAAACCGACATCATTGTTCGCCTTGTCATGCCGCAGTTTGCATCCCAGGCACAGATGCTTTGCTTTTGAAAAGCAGGGAAGTGCCCGAAATCCGGGCACCCTAGTGCTCGTAGCCGAGTGTCGATGGTCGCACCCACCAGAGACGTGAAGAGCTCGGGTGCAGAGCCGCCTGCCTAAGTTGAGATCTCTAGAGCACAGTAACACAGTGTGCATGACCTTGTTCTCGGTCGGGAACGTCCAAAAGGTTTTGGCGAAAATGGGTGCATTTTCTTCATGGAAAGTTGACATCTGGAGGCAATTCTGATGCCGCTGGAAACCGAGTAATGTGTTCACACGGCGGGCTCGCATTCAGTATTTCGCTTCGATAAATCTCTACGAGATGCGGCCATGAAGGTAGCTCCTGCCACGTCTGGCTTGATGTGCCACTTCTCCACCATGATCTGTCCACAGCTGCATTCAGTACTTCAGTACCCCAAAACCCACCATGAGCAAAACAGTCGCAAACCATGAGTTTCGCCTCTAGAGCACCGGTGAAGTAGACCTCGGATGAAGCTCCAGGCTGCAGCGCCTCTGGCGCAAGAGAGCTACCAGTAGTGCTGCCATGCATCGTCACAAACGGTATTCAGCCCCAAGAGCATGTAGCTAATGCCTATTACCTCAGTGTCACACAGCGAAGCAAGAATTGCACAGCAGGGCAAAACCTGTACCACTCAGCTAGAACCTGCCACCCACACAGGCCACCTTGCGTTACAACCTACCACTGCAAGGCAACGGTAATCGAACTTAAGCAAGATTCAATCTGAAGGAGACAGCTCGCACTCTAGATCGTCACAGCAGTAGGGCCATTAGGGTGGTTTTCACCACGAGCCTAACCATGTCCTGGTGTGCAAGCTGACATTTCTCGGCAGAACGTGCGTTTGAAGCTTGGCTGCGCATCCCAACTTCAGCCAGCTCACATGCAGGAACACAAGCCAACGATTTTCATCTTCCCCGTACGGCTGGGTCAGCACCAGATCAGATGGATACCTCGTCGGAAGGTTAAGCTTTGAACATTCTAATCTTCCATCATATACTCGATGAAGGACGCCAATGCCAAAAAATGCACTTCAGTGGGGCGACAATTGCTCAGTTTGATCGCCAAGGGTCAAACTTTGAAGACGACGGCTATGTGTCGCAGGGTAACCACCTGGAGGGAGACCTGACACAAACACTCTGGCACGCACGCCTTTGATCCGAGGCATGTCATCGCGCTGCAGACGTCGAGTTCAGATTTCAAAGCACCCAGCAGCACTTCCATGGTTCGGCATCTGAGGCTCTCACGCGATGGCCATCTGTCATGACAAATGACCTAAGCGTTGTGTGATAGGGGAAAACCCTGGAGGCAGAACATAAAGAAACAGAAGCAGAAACAAACTAGACACTAGTTATACACAAATATGCACCATGTATGTATGGGAAGGGAATGCGTTCGACGAAAATGACAGTACCTTGCGTTGCATTACATTGCACTACTTGATGCCACATTACACAACGTATTACATGACCGTGTGGCTACACTGCGACATCGCCACATTCCTTTATTGCTACACTTCTTCATTGCCGAGTTGGCATTACCACAGGTCCAATATGCGCATGCAAGCATGCATGCAACCATCCATCCCTGCATACACGCATGCATATATGAAAACATGAATGCGCACAAACATACATGCTGAAATACGTGCCGATGTAGGCAAGTACAGAGATACATACATACATACATTACGGGATGCCGATGTGACATACCCAATGCTGAGGTTCGAGCCACGCCAACCAAGAAGACCAAGACAAGCCTGAGGGGTTCAAACTCCCAGCTACTTTCCGAGTTCAGCGAGAGGGGCGCTCCGCAAAGCTCCAAACGAGACGATGATTTTGTCTGCCACTAGATGTGTCGTCGTTGTAGAACTTGAGCTTATGTCGTCCTGGTATGTGTAGAAGGTCGTAGCTCGAGTCATGACCTGGGAACCGCAACTGATGCCATCAGGATCCTTCAGGTCGCCACAAAGTAAATGTATATCCAGTAGCGCGAGCCGTCAACAAAGCAAAACCTCGAAAGCAAGATCCACTTTCTGATGCTGCCGAGCCGCACTGAAGTTGCGAAGGATGCTCTTCTCAACAGTCTCAGCATGTAGTGCATGAGAACTATCGGGGCCCAGTCGAGACTGTGCGAGAGTTCGTACCGTACGTTCGGACGTACCGAGGGCTGAGCTGGCGCGGGATCCCGGGCGTGCGGCAAAGCGCCATGATGCCATTTGCTGCAAACGGAGGCTCCCCACCGCCCACCCGTCTCCACAGATTGCTAGGGGATGCAGGGGTTTCCAGCCTAGCAATGTCTTGTATTTGTGCGTGTTCGTCGGCTTCCTGAAAAAGTCGGGGTTGGTTGCAAAGTCTGCTGTGACCGGCCAATGTTGGCTTTGCTTGTCATATCTGTCATCTGCAGAATGTGCAGGTGACAACCTTAAAGGGTAGTCAGTCAACGACGCGTTTGAGCAAGAGTCAGGCAGATTAGAAGGAACGAGTTGTGCAACTCAAGACATCGTGACCTGATGCCCCGACACGAGTCAACCGGGCTACCGATGCAAGGGTCACTTGCACGACCCAGCTTCTGGAGTGTTTCTTCCCTCAGTTGTTGGAGGACATCCTGATTCTGTGCATGATTTATAACATCAGAATCAAAACTGAATGCATCGCAGCTGCCAATCTTTCACGTCCAGCTCGACTCCACTTTGCCTATCTTCCAGCTGGGTTCGCATATCCTGAGCCAGAGAATCTCAGGTCGTCTGTCCGGCTCGGCAGCCAAAAACTACAAAGGCCTGGTAAGCCCGTCTCCACTTCGTGCAGCCCCGGGTCATCCATCCATGTAAGAGTCCAGCAATTCTTCTTGCAAAGCTTCTTCACCCAGTCCGCCTGCTTCCTTCTCACGGTGCGGCAGTGAGACAGTGCCACGATGCGAACTGCACTGAACGTGCCAAGCGGCCTGTGGCGCTCGTTCGCCACGAGCCGATCTACATGCTTTCGCAAATCGATCTCACCATGAAGCTGCGCTTCCTGCTGGACTCACAGACTAATCAACTAAACGACAAGCAGATTTAATTAAGGTAAGCTTGTTGTCGTCGCTTGTGACTCGGGAGAAGTGCAGCATGAGTTGGAAATTTCCCTGACTGTAACATGTAAACACTTTCTGGGGGAGTGGGTCCAAAACCTCACCAAGTCCCATTTGGAATAATCGGTCGCTTCAGCTCTTTTAGCCCGAAACGAACGCTTGTCTGAAGTTCCGTTTTGGGCCTGAAAGTGTATGTTGGGCTTTGGGGTCGCTGCTGGGGTTTGCAGAGGGATTATCTTGGGTTTGAAGAGGGAGTAGGGCTTGCGATTTCAATTCTTGGATGGAAGGCAGGACCGCTTGGACTCCAGGGACTGCAAATAAGAGGCTGTAAGTCCTGATCATTCCAACACATATGGGCGGTTATCAAAATTATGGTCCTTACTATAATTCGGCACCTGATATATAGGGTACCCAAAACGGGACCCTAATTTTGACAACTACCCATATGAACAATGCAAACATGGCCCCTGTATTCGTTGCCCATGGCTCAGCTCACTATGCTGCAGGCGGGGGCGTTTGACACCAGGGCGTTGAAGGTCGGAGTCTTGACGACGCTAGATCACCTCCCCTGAAGATGTTGCTGACTCTGCATGGGTTCTCGCTTTTCCTTGTACATGCCCCACTTCTCGACAACCATTTCGGAGTCACCAACTTTCTCATCACCTTGGCAAGCATGTCTTGGATGGAAACCCGCTGTTGTTGCCTGAGTTCCATCAATCGTATTCTTTGTCAGGCAGCCTTTCTCTGCAACACGGATTGCCTCCTTCAGCTCCTGACACTGACTTGTTTGATGATGCTTTTGCGCCTTCGCACATGCGAGATAGACGAAAGCATGCGAAGCTGGCCTTGTCGCTGTACCTCAGCACAGCCCACTACGTTGTGAGCGTAACGATCTATACCTTTTAGAGCAACAACGGATGCTCGGGGCTGCACTCCAGCAATACGTGGGCATAGTAGTCAAGAACTGCGAGCCTGGTTCGGTCGGTGCACACGAAAACGCTTCACCCAAACACGTCAACTAGGCCAGTGGCTTTCGCGCAGGCAGGTTGGCGGAATCTTGTGGAGAAAGAGTGCATCGCAAGCGGACGTCCTTCAAAACGATGTAGGAATCGCCTTTGCTGCGTGAAGTCTACAAAGGAAAGGGGTCCCTCATGCTTTAGCTCTGCTGAACTCTACTGGCACAAAAACGGATCTAACGGATGCAATGCAGCTGAAATGCCATACTGACGGGCCCCGACAAGGCCTCTGGGATCGTTCCAAATGTTCTGCACTCCGTATTTCGGTCTCTCAGCCGGTTTGGCATCATCATAGGCTGTGCCGAAGAGTCCTAAGATTCAGGTAGAACGCTTCGTTCAAAGACAGCTGACGAGAATTGCACGACCGCAATCCTCCAAACTCCACAAAAACCTGAGCACCACACCGCGTTCCCACTTTTCACGAGCGGATGTTTTCAACAACCCGCCGGAAGTTTTGGTCTCGAACTGGTTCCGATAATGAGTGTCCTTCATGAAGAACTGGCCGACCTGCCACTGAGCGGCCGCGCCGCTGTGCCAGGTGAATCTCCAAAGATTGCTGCCACAGCTGTTAACAAGACTCATGGCCTTGTCCAAATTGATATGTACAATCAAGGGCGCCAGCTCTCTGATCCAAGAAAGCACCATCCAAAGCTCTGTGTCCGTGTACCCCAGACTTTGCACTCCTTGGCTTCAACAAGCGTGCACGATCCGGTACGGTCGTGACTTCACTGCAAAAGGACTTTCCAAACTTCAAACCGGCACAGCTGCTGCGCTGCAACTCTGGAAGAGCTCGCTCGTGGTTTTCTTGAGCGAGATTGCGGATGTGACGAATTGCCGCCTGCTGCTGCGACAAGCACTAGCACATTGCCCCCATTGAAGCTGGATAGCTTCAGGATGTACTTGTGTTACATGTGAATTGCCATCAAGTTGACATCTCTCTCTCAAGCTGGGGAAAAGCCGGCACCAATGACCCTTCATCTGCTGCCACTTCAATAACAAAGCCCACCCCGGGCTTCAAAAGCACACTTCACACATTCGGGCAACTGTAACTGCATCCTTGCTCTTGTGATGCCCTTAGAGCAATTTTAACGCTCCTGCTGGCATGGTCGGAGCTGGGCAGCACTGTCCTCGGCAGAAAAGTAGAGAAGAACATCACGAGCCCGCCATCATTCATCAGATGCTGCTTCATGAGCATTGCCATCGGCTGTCGGTAAGGCAAAGACTAGCTCCGACTCACTGGCGGTCAGTCGCCAGTGGGCCTGTGCTTCCGGGTTGATCCCACACTCCTGGGCGAAAGACCAACCCTACATGATATGAGAAGTGGTATCGCGGAGATCTCCCCTCCTGCAATGCCACTCGGAGATTGTCTGGATCGGAGATGGAGCCTTTGAAGCCTCCACGCTCCTGCCAGACGGATTCCTAATGACCACATCCTAGCAGGGCATCGCCAGTTGGCCTGGAGCTGCTGCCGTCGAATCTGGAAGAGCTTCCCTGTGCCGCCTGACTGCATGCATCCTATATCCAAAGATGAGTTCCGGAAATTCAACTCTTGGCCCGCCGACCGACTTTGCCGACGTAGCGCAAAAACTCGTCAAACTGAATTGTTCCATCGCGGCTCGTGTCCTGCAACAAGGCAGCTTCCCGTTTTGATCATCAATGAGGAAATCGGCCCTACCGAGTGAGGTCGTGGGGTCTCTCCACGCGGTCAGACTGCTTGCGCCTTCGGCCACTTTCCTCCCCTGCTGTGTTCGTCTGTGCGTGCAGATCACTCGTTTTTCGGTCACGGTTCGACTGTCAGTTTCCTTCACGGAGTTCGACAAGAAAGCAACAAATGCAGGCAACCCGGTCCACTATGCTCATCAGCTTGTCCACATCCTCTGGAGTGTCTGGAAAGCCCAAGTAGTCGAGCATGAAAGTGACCTAGCGGGATCTGCAACACATTACCGTGTTCTTCTTCCCAAGCCCGAGTGTTTTGTCTCATGAGTCTCATGCAGAAGGGATCCAACATGCTCAAGTATTCTGCTTCTCGACCTTTTGGCAGGTGCCCATGTGCCTCGTTTTTGGCGAGGACGCCATCCCCGCTGTGGTCAAACCTGAAGAGATTTTCCCCCAGAAACTGTTAACGGAGAGGAGTCTAAGCGATGGGGCGTCTCGTGCAAGCCTATATTGACCGGTACCTACTCCTCAAAAACGGGTTTGAAAGGGCATTGCGGACGACTTAGCATCTCCAGCTTCGCAGGGGGAGACGCAGCAACCGACTGATGACGGAGAAAACCCGACAGGAATACCGACCCAAACATGGGACTTAGTGAGTGCAAAGCAAAGGGGCGCTTGTGTCAGCAAATGAAACTACGTAGAGGTTCAGCGCAGCATTGCAGCATGCTCTGCGCGACTGGTATCTAAGAGTTGTTTCCTACTTCTGAAGCCAAAAGAGTGTAGCAGGAGGCACGACTAGGTGTAACATTTTCGGGCAGCCCGGGCAGACGGACCCCTGGGGCTTGCATGCAGACGGACCGCAAGCCTCCTCGCCAAACTGTCAAACCAGCTTCAACAGCAAATGAGACTGTAACTGCGAGGCCCACAGCAACCCCCACTGCCAGTGTGATCCGTCTTCGCTGAGCAACTTGTTGAATGCAGCTGCAATGTGCTTCTCCTCCAGATCCAGCTTCATCTGCAGGATGTCGAGGTTGTTTTGTGCCTGCTTGTGAGCTGGCAGCCTCTGATCCGATTACGACATGTGCCTCAAAACCTAGTATACTCGGTATCTTGCTTGGCTGTCTCTCAGCCATACTGTATGCTCCTGAACTTCAGCGCGCTCTCACTGGCTATATCGTGGTATACCATTCTGCAAGGTCAGCCGGGTGACATGTGCCCAGTAGAACTAAACGAGCAGTGGATGGAGCAGAACTTGGCATCAAGATTGAGGCGGGAATAATGTATGAGGCCGTCGCATGGTTGACACAAAACCTTACCAAGGCCCACCTGCAAAATTTCATCCATTTCAGCTTCAGAAAGGCTGACGTTTCTTTAGCGGCGTGCTCAGCTACCAGATGCCACCAGCCCTTGCAACGAGAACCAGAGTCCACGAGTCTAGAGAAAATTAGGAGGGTCCACAGATGCAGATAGAAACGGAATGCTCAGGAGGGCAAGCTGTGCCAATGTACCGACGGTCAACCTGATGGGCCTCATCTGCGTTTCCATTTGCAATCGACTTGCACAGCTCGTCGATAAAGAAAGCGAGCTCGTGCTCCTAGCAAAGCTGCGTATCAGTGGGCCCAGAAACTGACAAACGACAGCTGCCCAGGCTTCTTTGCCCAGCACACCGGCTAAAATGCCTTTACTCCCTGCAGGCACTTCTCTCCTTGGAGACAAGGTATGGCCTGGATTCAAAAAGCTCGTCGAGCTGCTCCTTTCGAAGGCTCCAGTCCAGATCTGTGCATGCATAAACACAAAAACGTAAATGCAAGCGCACTCATTTCAAGCGCATACCGGTTGGCTGACCAAACATGACATGTTCCGTGTGTGAATTTACACTTTATTTCGGGTGCAAGTACATCACAGAATGCAGCCTAATGTATGTATGAGTGCATATGTATGTATCTATATATATATATATATATATATATATATGTATATATATATATATATATAAACGCGTACACAGATCGTCGCTCAGCATCGACTTCCCGTGCAAAGCCACATCCTTGTGGGCAGTACACCGTGGTGACACTTCGACCGCGCTGAAATCGCCCTGCACGCCGTGGAAAAAGACCTCGCTGCTGACCTCCAAAAGGGGACAAATGTTTCAATGTGATGGTTTGACAGGTTCTTGCACCTATGCCCCGCTACCAGTACCACAGAAAATTCGACTTAGTTGCTGAAAGCTTGAATCAGCATCACGACATGCAGCAACGTGAACACCACTAATGCCACTAATGGCTACTGCAGTTGCTCATGCAAAGGAAGAAGCATTGTGCTCGATTACTGACGCAAGCTTTTACTATTGCTGAACATGTCATGGGCCATCTTTCCGATTGGCTCAACGGTCGGGCCTCAGCAAAGCTTAAAGCCCAGCTGTATGTGCTACAGTGCGACATGCTTTTGGTTCCTGGGCCTCGGGCTTGAGCCCAACTCTGGGCCTTGGTTCCCGAGTTGCACTTGGAGGTTCATGGGTAGTTATAAGTGGGGTTATAAGTCCCCTAATATGGGTTATACGTATAGCTACCCCACTTATATCCCACTTATAACTATAACTACCCATGAATCTCCAAGCACAGCGAAGCAACCCCGGCCTCTGCAGTGTCTTCATGGCAGACACAGAGGGAGAGCGCGCGCCCCCACGAAAACATGCGATTTCAGAAGCTTTGCAGGCCTGTCAAATGCGTCCGTTTCCCTGCGAGATCCAAAGATGGGCTCAACTTGAATTCTCACGTCAATGATAGTCTATAGTCTATGGCTTCAGACGGCTTGGTTAGCATCGGCCGGCACCCCTGGAGCCAAGTGGCACTCAAGCCGCTTCTGTCTGGCTTGATCATGACTTTGAAACATTGGGAATTTCCATGAGTATGCTTACTTGTAGCTACTTTCGCTCGCGCTTGAACTTCCTCATTTCATGTCCACGATCGCGCGTATTGCACAACGAGAGCGTATGCGAGGCTTCGTTCCGAGTCTTTGTCATTCACCTGGCGCTGTCGCCTGCAAAGTCGCTACTGTACCACCTGAATCAAAACCAACTTCTTTTGTGTCCTTCTGGGCCCATGCGATGCTGATTCGGCTTCGTTTGGCAATGACTTTTCACCAAGGAGTATCAACGGGATGAGCCAAAATCATCACCTCTCGTATCTAATTGGAAAGCTGAGCCTTTTTGCTTCCGCGGGGATCTCACGCCTGGTTGCGGCATGACCTGATCTGGCCCTGCCCTCACGGCTTGGCGCTGCCTGGCAGCAACGAATGTCACGGCTGTGGCTGCGGCCGGGCTACAGTCTAGCGCAGTTCCGAGCACAAAAACGCATGCAGAGGCCCACTTGCACTGCCCAGCTTCTTGAGCTTTGCTTCCCTTAGAGGCCGAAACCATTCCGATAGTCTCTGCGCGACGGTCGTTGTACAGCAGAGCGAAAACCGGGTTTTGCAGTGCATCTAAGCTGCCACTGCTTTGCATCAAGCTCGACCCCACTTTGCCTATCTTCAAGATGCGTTCGCATTTCCTGAGCCGCTCGGATTCTGTGAGAAGAGGCAATCAGCATGGAACAGCATCAGCAGCAGAGAGATTTGAAGCATGGCACACAGTATTCAATATTCTCCTGCTGAACAGTCAATATCGGAGTTCGCGTCATGCACAGCTTCCGCCTACGATTGGTCGCCACTGCTACGATCCAGGGGTATGTAGCCGTGCGTCGTCCATCCATGTGAGAGTCCAGCCGTTCTTCTTGCAAATGCTTTCCACCCAGTCCGCTTGCTTCCTTTGTTAACGGCAAGACAGCATCTACTTCTGCGTCTGGGACGTCCCGAAGCAAAAACCTGCCGGAAAGCTCCCACGAGTGCTGCAGCCCAGCCGCCTATGGCGCTCGTTCGCTACGAGACGATCCACATGCTTTCGCAGATCGATCTCACCATGAAGCTGTGCTTCCTGCTGGCACCACAAACTCCAATCCGCTTACTGGCTTCCATCGTATGGCTAGGTCCAACAACAGGGAAAAAAGAACATGAGCGGCCGCAAGCCGACAACACCGGAAGAATTAAGAGCTCCCTCCTTTGAGTATACTGCTGACTTTGCATTTGTCTCCCCTTCCTTGTACATGCCCCACTTCTCGACGACCTTTTCGGAATCACCAACTTTCTCATCACCTTGGCAAGCATGTCTTGGAAATGAGTGAACCTGCTGTCTGAAAGTAGCACTTGGTGCATTCGATAGTATTCTTTGTCAAGCAGCCCTTCTCTGCGACACGTATTGTCTCCTTCAGCTCCTCGCAGTGGTTTATTTGACAATGCTACCGCTCCAGAGAAAGCATGAGACATGATGCGAAGCAGCTGAGGCTGTCTGGCCTTGTCGCTGTACCTCAGCATTACCCACCCCGGACAAATCACAAATCATCTAGACTGACCTCTCAAAGTCAAAAATGGTTGAAGACGGCTCAGGGCTCCAACTCCAGCAGCACGTGGGCGTAGTAGTCCAGAACTGCGAGCCTTACGCGGTCAGCCCACATGCCTTCGAAATGCGGCCATGACACGACGCCAAGTCACCTTCGAGCTGGCAGGTTTGCGGAATCTTGTGGAGAAAGAGTGCATCGCAGGCGGATGTCCTTCAGGACGATGTAGGAATCGCCTTTGCAATGTTCAGTCGGCAATTCAAGAGGCCCCTCATGCCTTCTCTCTACTGCGCACTACCGACACAAGGACGGATTCTGCGCACGCGATGCAGCCGAAATGCCATACTGGCGGGCCCCGACAACGCCTCTGGGGTCGTTCCAGATGTTCTGCACTCCGTATTTCGGCCTTTCAGCGGGTCTTGCACCGTCGTAGGCTGTGCCGAAGAGTCCTAAGATTCAAGCAAAACGCGTCGTTCAAAGGACAGGAGAATGGAAAGGCAGCATTCCTCTTGACAGCACACATGCCTGAGCGCTGCACCGCGCTCCCACTTTTCACGCGCCGAGGTTTTCAACAACCCGCCGGACGTTTTGGTCTCGAACTGGTTCCGATAGTGAGTGTCCTTCACGAAGAACTGGCCGACCTGCCAATGAGCGGCTGTGCCAATGACTCACTGGCTCCAAGGCTACGTAGGTGGTGAAGTTCCGTGTCCTCCAACTCGCCCCCCCCCCCCCCCCCCTGCGCCCCACAATGCCTGCTGCCCCTCTCCTGCCTCTTTGCTTGTTTTGCAGGTCGGTTAACGGCCTCTTTCAAGTGCGGCATCGGGGCTTGAAGAAACAATAGCCCAACACTTCGTCGGCCCTCTTCGCTTGCGTCAGGGCCGAGGCGGAAGATGCGAAGCGTTAACAATTAAACCACCAGCATCCCTTCGCAAGGACAACAACACCAAAGGCCTTGTCCAAGTTGATATGTACAATCAATGGCGCCAGCTCCCTGACCCAAGAAAGTGCCATGAAGAGCTCTGTGTCAGTGTACCCCAGGTTTTGCACTCCTCGGTTTCTCTGTGCATGACTCATCCACCCTATGCGCCAGGTCTGAAAGAAGGCGAAGCTGCTCTTCTGCAACTCCGGCAGCGCTCGCTCGTGGTTCTCTTGAGCAAGGTTTCGAATGTGACGAATTGCCGCCTGCGTCCCCAACAGGAATTGAAATTAATCGTGGCTCCAGTAGGGCTTCACGCACGATGGCAACTGCACCCTTAGGACGCTCCTGCTGGCATGGTCGCAGCTGGGCAGCACTGTCCTCGGCAGAAAATTATGAAAATTAGAGAAGAACACAACGAGCCCGCCATCACTCATGAGATGCTGCTTCATGAGCATTGCCATCGGCTGTCGGTAAGGCAAAGGCTAGCTCCGACTCACTGGCGGTCAGTCGCCAGTGGGCCTGTGCTTCCGGGTTGATCCCACACTCCTGGGCGAAAGACCAATCCCACATGGCATGAGAAGTGGTATCGCGGAGATCTCCCCTCCTGCAATGCCACTCGGAGATTGTCTGGATCGGAGATGGAGCCTTTGAAGCCTCCACGCTCCTGGCACACGGATTCCTAATGACCGCGTCCTATCGGCGACGGCACACGGAATCGCTGGTTGACCTGGATCTGCTGTCGTCGAATCTCGAAGAGCTTTCCTGTGCCGCCTGGCCGTGTTTATCCTTCACGTCTGCAGATGAATCCTCTCACAAATTCAACACTGAGCCGGCCGACCGACTTTGCCAACGTAGCGCAGGAACTCGTCAAACTGAATTGTTCCATCGCGGCTCGTGTCCTCCAAACAGGTCACAACACATGCGCCGTAACATAAACCAACAAGGCACCTTACAATCAGAAACTGGGCAACCAAAACCTTGGCCGGTGGGGATGTGACGGAGCAATATAAATCTAAGTCAAAGTGCGATTCTCGTGGCACCCAGCTCTGTGTGCCGCTATATGTCTGTGAAAAGGCCGGACAGAGCGTCCCCGGTTTTGCATGAAGCGCGGCCCCCTTCGAGGCTTGGGGATGTCAGGGTCCATGACAGATGCTGTACCTGCCAGTGGTGTTGGTGTCGGTGTTGGTGCTGGTGCTGTTGTTGCTGCTGCTGCTGTTGGTGTTGTTGTCGTTGTCTGGCTGCCGCTGCCGCCGCGGCTGTCGTTGCTGCTTTTGTTGATGTTGTTCTCGATCGCTCGCTCTTGCTTGCTAGCACGCACACACTCTCTCTCTGTCTCTTCTCTTGCCCTTTCGCCAGCGCTGCATCTTCCTTCTCACTCTTTCGCTCTCTGTCATCATACCCCATCAAGCCCTATCACTCGCAGGCTCGTCACTTCTTGCAGTTGCACCTGCAGACCACTTGCTGTGTCAACTTGGAAGCAACGTGAAGTACTGCATGCAACGCAGCAAAACCCAGTCCACTTTGTTCATCAGCTTGTCCACATCTTCTTGGGTATCTGGGAAGCCCAAGTAGTCGAGCATGAATTTGACCTGCGGAGTTCTTGACATGCTTCTCTGCCATGTATGAACCTCCATGTCAGTTGTTCCTGTAAGAGGCTGAAACAGGTATTCCCTCAGATTTGATATATATTGACATGTAGACGCACTTCTCTCCATACACATACACACAGGCCTCGTTTTTAGCGAGGACGCCGTCACCACTGTGATCGAATCTGGGCAGAATGCTTGCCAGAGATCCGAAGGACATGTAGCTAGCCAGTGAAAGATACTAGAGCAAGGCACAGAACTGAACGACTGTTTCAGGCTTCGCTGGCCGAATGCCATCGAAGCAAGACTAGCGAACGGGTGGCGAGACTGCTCAGTAAGGAGTGTTGCAAACCGAACTACCATCTGAATCCGAGCAGCTTTTTGAATGCAGCTGAAATATTCTTCTCCTCCAGATCCAATTTCATCTGGAGAATGTCAAGGCAGTTCTGGGCCTGCCACATGGCTCCGTCTTAGGTCACTTGGGGTCTTCTTGGAGTTGGGGTAAAAATGTGGACACCGGTGGAGACTTTCACACGCCTTCTGGCTTCCGGGCCTACGCTGCAGTGCAGAACCTTATAACTGAGCACAGTCTCAGCCGAGGGTGGTGAAGATCATTGCGGTACTTAGTAATTTTCCACTAGACGGAATCACCAGTGCAGTAGTGCGGCTCTTGTGTCTTTAATCCAAATCTTCACGGGAGCATGAACGCCGCAAGCCTGCAATAGATTTACCAACCCGCTAGTCCGCCACAGGACCAAATATATCCGAATACACATACATATGGGTGGATAGAAAGCGGGACCAGTCTCGGCACCTTATGTTAGAAGTGTTGGCAGGAACATACACATTCCGCGTGGACAAACTCGTAGCCTGCGAGAGTCCACGGGAGACTAGTAGCATGTACTTCGAGTTGTGCCTGGGGGAAACCCAATCTCGTGCAGGCTATGAGAACGGCCAGCATAAGCGAATGGTCGCATCAGATTGACGGGCCTCATCAGTGTTGCCGTTTTCGATAGCCTTGCACAGCTCGTCGATGAAGAAGGCGAGCTCGTGCTCCTGACCAAGAGATTCGGATTCATGACAGTCGAGGCCTCGCCTTCTCGCAAGAACCATCTCCAAACATTCCGAAGTGAGTCTACAACTCTGTCTGCATGTCACCGTTCCTCAACCGAACAGTTTACATTCGAGGCTCTTGTTGTTCTTGCCTCATGTGACAACTGGTGGTGAGGACTGACGCTTTGATCTTCGGAATCAGACCGATGAGACACTTGATTCGCGATTGGCACTGATTCCGTGTGGCGTTTGCATGGAGTGCAGCGTACGACATGCACAGTGGCACAGTGGTAACGAGTCTGACCAGGAGTGACCACACCAGTCATGTGTCCTTGCTCAGCTTAAAGGCTGCATGACTGAATATGCGATACGACAAATCCACAACCTAGAAACAACGTGAGCTCAGTTCCCATTTGATTGCAATGCCCCAACGAATGTGTCTTTGGCCCCTTACAGGAGGCCGTGTTTTCAACGGAATTCTATATGAGGCTTAAAAAGTTACAAGAAGCCTAGGCCACTGCCCATCACCTCAGCCGACTGAAGCTTAACGCCTTTGTAAAAGCTTAACCCAATTCAAACATTCGAATCTGCACCCTGAAGTCTGAGGTTATAACCACTGAGAAGCTAGCCTTCGACTTCAGGTATGGCTTCGATCGGAAGAGCTCGTCAAGCTGCTCCTTTCAAAAAGTAGTGTTCAGAATAGATACTGGCAGCGAGAATAGTAGTAATAATAACAGTAGCAATAATAACAACAGTATAGTAATAATAACAGTAGTAATTCAGAGCTTTACCAGCGAGCGACAGAGAGCTCTGTGTCACGCAACATCACTCGACTCCGGACACATACGCAGATTGTGAACAGTGAAGGCAAAGGCATATCCAACTCCGTATCTTGCAGAGTTCTCTGGACTGAGTGAATCTCGGCTAGCATTTGTCTACTGAGTCTACTGCCTCATCATGACTGATACACGCACACTCACCGGAGCCGCGGCAGAGACTGAAAGGATTGCGGGACTCAGCTTGCATAAAGCAAAGTCCTTGTGGACGGCACACTGCGGCGACACATTGACAGTGCTGAAATCGCCCTGGCCACTTTTGAAACGGACTTCTTCGCTGACCTCCGGCACAGCCATGGTCATGACAGCTGGCATGGAACGATGACTACGTAAGAGCAACGTCGTGACTTCGGCAGTCTGAAATGGAGGCTGAAGCACTCCACAGAAGGCTTGCAAGGTGACACACAGGACCAGCCCCTGCCTCTGCCGCTGTGTCATTGCAGATGCACAGCGAGAATACTTGTCGTAGTGAAGAAAACATGCTTTCCGCGCAGCTCTGGGTTTACCAAGCTCCGCGTGTAGCTTCTGAACTACAAAGCCTTGAGAAATGCGGGTGCATCAGCACATTGCTGTTCTCATGTCACATGGAGTGCAGTGATTCAAGATGCTTGCTGCGACTTCCAGCACTGCCAGCAGAAGCATTGACTCTTTTTCTCTGCCTCGATGGTCTCACACCTGCTTCTGTCGCGCCCTGCATAACCGTGCCGCGCTGCACGATCACCTGGAGCAACACAAGGTCTTCAGACCTTCTCCGATGCTGCACGATGCTCCCTCTGTGTCTGATGCCCTGCCTTGCAGTGACCCCCTGCCAAGAACGGGATCTGAGTCACAATTCTGAGTGTTCAGTTCAATCAGCGGTGCCTTTCGACACAAGTAGGCGTAGTGCACGCTGCCACCTGTGACTAGCCGACCATTGCCACGATGCAACCGCAGAGCACAGCACCGATAACTGCAGTATGCTGGACAATTCCCAACCCCGTCCTGGAAGCTTCACTGGGATGGGCACCTGAAACGATAGACATGATGCCACCGTAGGACACATCGCGAAAAAGGGCGCAAAGTCAAGAAGGGGCCTGCTTGATGGCGAAGTTCAAGCCCTTGCCCTTGAAGTAGTCCAGCCTGCCGGGTCCCATCTTAAATTCCTCACTCCTACTGATTCTACTGGAGAGCTTGAACATAAGTTGCTCTGGTGCACAGGGCACACTGCAACTTAAGGAGGCTTCTTCCAAGGACTTGGGGCTCTGCGGTATATGTCTCTTTTCAAGTGGAGCAGTAGCAGCGGCTTCGTGGCTTCAAACCTGCCGCCCTGAGCGGCATATCCTGAGTCCTAGACCTCAACTCCCAAATCACCAAATCTAAACTCTGCCCATCATGTGCTTTGTTGAACTGTGCCGCCCATTCAATTGAAAGAAATGGCAGGAAGACGAAAGAAGTGTTTGTTGTCTGTGCTGCAAAACTTCCGACTATGTCCTAGTCAAGTCGTGGAATCTTCTACGTGTCACACATAGAGCCACGCCACCCTGCAGACCCTGCAGTCAACACGCATGCTCACGAATGAAAGCAATCTTGATTCATGTTAGCCTGCTGCAGCCCGAGCCTGCTGTTCGGTACACCGTAGCTGACACAGAGAAACCTGAGCAAGTTTAGGCATTTGCACTACCTTTTGCGAGTGACAGGTGACAGTGACAGTCTCTCCGAGGCAGTGTGGCAGCGTGTTGATGCGATCCGTCTTTTTCCCATGCGGCTCTGCTCCTCCTTCGAGGATCTTGCAGCTCTCCGCTTTGCCCTCGGGAAGCCTTGTTCAGCAGATGAAGAAAACAAGGCGGCGGTTCAAACTGTGTTCTGCTGCACATGTCATTTGCTGTCCATCCTTGACCTTTAGCATGGAAGAAATGCATCTCGAGAGAAGCATGTACAACTAAAAGATGCAGAACACTGAACAAAAGGAGAACCCCGGCTGCTGTGCTCCAAGGTTCCTCTCAGCAGAAGCTCATTCGGAAGGCGTCCCATCGATGTGTCGCAAATAGTTGCCTGGAGATGCGGCAGCGCGAAAGAACACAGCAACCTTTAATGTGCACAAAGAATGGACAAAGTAAGCAATGATTTGGCACCTGCGAACTCACAGCAGACCGGCACAGCTCTCCATCTTCAAGAGGGTATCTCGAAGGCTGCTGCCAGGGAAATGCTCTGGAGCTGGGGCACCAGCCAGAATCCTTACTGCTGGGATGCTGATTTTCAGGTCAAAAAGGGTCCACCGTATACTGATACAGTGGCAAAGCGATGTCCAGAAAAGCGGCACCAAAGTACCCAATACGAAACCTCGGAGTTTGGCGGTTGCATGGATGCTGTGGTGCACAGGAGCAAGCAAAGCACCAAAAACAAGGTCATCTCGTCAGTGCTGCAGCGAGTGGCTGATCATTGCTTTGATGTCCTGTCTTGCTTGGCAGCCTGCGTAGCGACCCAGGAAGTCCTGGGGGCATCTGCTGGCGTCGGCCGATGTCACCTGCAAACTTGCGAAACGTGAGATCAAAAAATCAATCATTCCGAACAAGGAATGCATCCGAGCAGCGATGCCAAGAGTGTGCAAAAAGCACAACACAAGGCCAGCCAACATCATTGAGAAAAGGCCTGCGCCACGCTTGAGAGACATGCATCTGATGATTTCGCAGGGCATATGCCGATTGCAGCCGAATGGCATAGCATGGTTGTGCAGTAGGCCTTAACAAGGTTGCATGGAAAAAGGACAGAAAAGCACGACACTCGCTTCTGAACCAAACCTGGGATGAAGGAGATTTGGAGGCTTCTGACGAGGCTCGTCTTGGCTGCTTGGCTGCTGCTCCGGTAGCCTCACAAGTTCAGACATGCAAACAGGTTATGCGGTTCCTGTTCTCACCATTTTCACGTGGTGCTGTCTGTTGTTACCCAGCACTCCTCAGATGATTGCCCAGTTTATCCGACAGCATTGTTGCTGAAACCATGAAAGTACTAACGAGGTGCTAGTTACCTGCTGCAGCACCGCTCCTGCTATTCCTCTCCTACTCCGCTCCTCCTCGTCACCCCCGCCCCTGCCCCTGCCCTTGCCCCTGCACCTGCTCCTGCTGCTGCTGCTACTACAACTCCCGCCCCTACCTCTACCACTAGGACTAGGACTATTATTCTTCTTCTTACTACTACGACTACTACTACTGCCACGGCCACTGAAACTGCCACTACCGCCACGACGACGACCACAACAACCCAGGAGATGTGAAGGGACGCGGCATCATCCCGGGGCCGACAAGCTAGGCGATTTGGGAGTTTCCGAAAATGGGGGACCCTAATATAGTACCCTAAATAGTAGGACCCCTATTATCCATTTGCAGCACATCTTCGAGAAATTTCGGTGCACACAGCTGCTCCGAGCCACCCGATCGGCCCAGGGCTTGTGTTGTGGCTGCTCATGGTATGGCAGGGACCTTAGCTGATTAAGGGCAGAGTAGCCCAGAAGCCCCACCTGTCATTGCTCTCCTCAAGCACTGGGTCTCCCACGAATATGGAAACTCGCTATATGAATGGATGGGAGTCCGAAGCGAACGGTTCCGCTGGAAGCTCCCAAAACACCTGACTTACAACCTGGACAGAAATGGCTGCGCAGGCACACAACATGCAGTCCTTCTCTTGCCAGCGTGCACATCGAGGTAGAATGAATAAGCGTGGTTCCAGTTGTAAACACTGCCAGTGTGTCGACATGTCACGTGCCGTTAATTACCAGCATCCAGAATCATGCAGAGTAAGCAGCGCACGTGCCCCGTGGTCTCAGCACTCTTTGGACCTGCCAGTTAGGTTGACCACATGACATGCATGGAGCGATTCGGCTTTCCGCTTGCATTTGGGCGTCCGAGTTTAGGGGCCAGGATTCCTGCACCCAGCGCTACGCACACAGGAAAATGATAGGGCGCTGGCAGAAAATCCACAAAAAACTATGCTCATCCTCTCGCTATGGTCTCAACTTCAGGACACCATGCAGCCTTGCAACATGCTCTCATGGCCTCCAGCAAATATTTGTTGATGACATTTGGTGCATTGTCACCTCAATTGCAAGAAGCTCCCGGCTGCATTGTCCCACCTATGAAACAACACATCCAGCAGACGTTGGTCCGGGTATCAAAGCCATTTCCAAAGTGCAGTCTGGGGTGCCACATGCAAACGTATCAAGGACGCTTTTGTCGATGACAGTGTCGAAGCTGCTCTCTATGAGGCCTCCAGGCAGCTGCAGGCAGCTCGGAAGCTTGCAAATACCTCTTGTGGTAGGGATGTTTCAGAAAAGCAACCCATTTCAGTGGCATCCATCTCGAACCTTGCATGAGCTGACCATGGTGTGCTCGTAATTATAGAGTCATGTCTCGTGACTCAGGCTCAAACCACTTCAGCTCTGGGCGCAGGGTCCTATTCCTGCATGAAGCATACATCCGCTAAAGCACGTGTAGCCATCCTCTGTGGACGGAGGCAATATTCACGAAGGAGGTCCTTTCTGCCATTTGCTGGATACATACCTGGTCTTAGGCTAAGGTCTGAAGTCTGAGCTGAACTTCCATGGCTCACAGCTGGTTCTGCCTCGGCCACATCGATGTTCGTGACATCCTTGTAGCCGTGGTCGTACCTTCACAGGCTTCTGCAGAACCTGTACCGCCTCGAGCTCGAGCTCCGAAAGAAGAACTGCAACTTGCAACTGGGAATGCAACATCGCTTCGGGCAGCAAGGAATTCCCGCAGCCCACGTGCAGTACGGACGCATCAGTCCGACCTGACGTGGCCTGGTGACAGACGACCGGCGTGTGGTTGAATGCACGCGTTCAGGGTTTAGGACACAGATCGACATTAGGGAGCAGCACTTCACCCAGCTCCAGCCTCCTTGATAAGGCTCTCAAGCTCTGCGAAGCTCTCTAACCACTCGAAGGGATTGGGATCGCCTCTGTACCTGAGCAGCTTTAGCTTTTCAATCCGTGCTGTTTGCCTGCTTGAGGTCCACACCTTTTATTCCAGTACTCTACGCCATCACCGTACCCAGGAGCCTCAGATGCGGCACTGCTTGAACCTAATTCATGATAGGTGGCCCACAAATGACGGCATAAGCCTTGGGGCTCGCGTCGGGTTCCCCGTCCGCACATGGTACCGTATAAAATGGCGCTGATGAACGCTGACTGCTTGACGATGCTGGTAGGGCCTGCGCTTCCTCCGCTGCTTCTTCCGCCACCTCTGAGATCTCCTTCCGCTTGGCACTGCTGCCTTTATCTTGGCCTGATCAGGGAGTTTCCGAAAATTGTGGGTACCTTCTTTTGGGGGCCTTGTAAAAGGATCCTACTAATCCTACTATTTAGGGTATCAAGCTTCAGAAGCAACCGCCCCACTACTGCATCGATCCCGCGAAAAGGCAGAGCTTCAAGTTACCCAATGCCACTTTCCCTCAAAACTTCAGCCCCTGAGCTCCTGAGCCATACCTCTCCCTCCCTCCCTCCCGTTTGTTTAGGCAGCAGAACAGCCCACCATGCCTTCACCCAAGCTTGAATTGCTTGTACCGACCGTCTGCAAGCAAGACAAGAAGCAAGCATCTAATGTGTAGGAGCCAGACTATTGGACAACGGGCCGCTGATCGCATTGATTGCCATGGGCCTGTGGAGGCGTCTTGCAACTGGCTGAAACATTAGGCCACTCTTATAATGCGTATCAGTGCCGCCTTTGGCACCGCTCCCACTGGCCGTCGCGACGTCGGGCGCAGACCCGTCTGCCCAACCGAGCCGAAAGACATGAGAGCCGGCAAATGCGTGGCGGCAAGCTGATCCTCCCAGCAGAAACACCAAAGCAGAGTAGAATCATGCCTCGGGTTTCTATACTAGTGTATACTAGCAACATCTTAGGAGCTTTGCAGCGCTGCTTTTTGCCTCAATCAAGTAGCAAGTCCACTTCCGACCTCTGCCATGACCTTGGTGAAGGAGAACACTGTTACACATAAACCTAAGCAGAAGCTGCGGAGGACGAAGCACATCAATGGCTGCACTATGCCGCACTGCTGGGAGCGGCACAGCGGCAGTCGCAGGGGCCCGCTGCTTCCCCTCCTATCCGTGACTCAATGCTCGGTCGTGCAAACCCCATGGGCAACTAGCGTCATCCGCTGAAAAGTCCTCGTCTTGAAGAAGCTCCTTCAAAAGTGCAAACGGCCAACACCCAGACTCAACGCGTGAAGGGCCAAGCTTCACAAGGTCACAAGATTTCACAAGCTGGCAGCTACTGTAACAAGGGGAATGAAAGCAGCAAACCCTAAACCCTAACCGGGGGAATTCATGAAATGCTCCGAATCTTATGTCGCAGGCGAGAGGACATGTTCAGAACACCAGCTTCTAGAAGGCTCCTGGAGCCTCTTGAGGTCCTCCACCTGACACAGCTAAGAAAAAGGGGCCTTAACGAGCAGAATAGGGTTGTGGGGCCCATTATACTCTAACAGAAATAAGGAACCCCCAAAATGGCACTGGTAACTATTAAGGCCCCTATAGTACATGTTCAATGATTCAAGGATGTAGTCCCGTCATGGCCTCGTCAACATCCCACCACTTCGACAGCCTAGGACTGCACGGCGACGACTCTAGCGACAACTCGCAGAAGCATCTCTGTCGGGTGGCACAGCCACTCGCAGCCCGCGCCTCGCAAAGACTGACAAATCTTTCACAGAGTCTGGGAGTCCGGGAGTTGCGGAGTCCTGTGAGACTCTGCGAGTTCGATCTGAATGGCACAAGCTGGCGCATCGAATTCAACAACGCAGAACCCACTCAGCCGCACACTCTTCCAAGCGCTTCTTTGTGGCTTCGAAGGTGGTCGGCCTTCGTGAATTTGTCACCGCAAGCCACCGCACAACAAGCCAGGCGCTGCAGCAAAAGATGCCCCAGCTTTCGGCTGAGCTGCCCGCTGGCTCCAGGGCAAGTCCTGAACGCGAGCAGTCGCGACATTCCGGCGCCAGATCGAAGCCTCCAACACTCCCGGGACTCTGGCAGCCAACAGCCCCGGAGGGCAGCGCTTTAAAGCCAGCAAGTCGTACCTGCAATGATAAGCCCCGTACGCAGGATTTCAGCTTAGAGAAGCTACTGAGCCGCGCACCCTCCGTCTTCAGAAGGCCCCAGCCTGGGGAGATCCGAGACTACTGCGCCCAGACACGTGGGCGATGCTTACTTACCCTTGGTTAGTAGGGAATGGAGGAATTGGATAACTACTATTACTACCTTCTATTCCCTACTAACCAAAGGTAAGGATGCAGAAGTGCCGGGCACTGCATCATGGCCCTTCAGCAAGGCTTGCCTCCAGGAGCCAAGCTCTGAGAGATGGGGGTTTCCGAAAATAGGGGACCCTAATGCAGTACCCTAGGATCCTTATTTTAAGGACCCCAAAATGAGGCACCCCTAAATATCGGAAACTCTCAAATGAGAAAGACTGTGTCGCCGTGGGGGGCCATGCCTCGCGTCCTCGAGGCGCTGAGCCGGCCGCCCAGGACCTGCAACACAGCCCTCCAGTGCACGGCGCACGTTTATCCGACTCAGACTTTGCACTGGGTGGGCGACTGTCCGCCCCAAGGCAGATGGTTGCCTCAAAGCTCGGGCTACGGCTACAGTGAGGGATGTGAGGACTTTGATGCGTCGCGGCAGCCTCGGCAAGCTCGAGGCCCTGTCGGACGATCCCCTGGTGCAGAGCATGGGAATCTGTTGAATGCCGGACAACAAAGATCAACAAAGCCCAAGCAGACTGTCTCCTCCAACTTCGCACCGAGATCGCCATCAGGCTGCCGCCAACCTGCCGCAGAAATCCGGTGGAGACTGGCACCGGTGTAGCTGCTTAGCTGAGCTCAAGACGCGGAACGCTGGCGGGGTGCCTCTGACTCTCACAAGACTCAGCAAAAAGATGCCTGGCTGCGGCCCGAGAAGCACATCTGAAGGAAATGCTGCTGACCTCAAGGCATACGTCAATCCTTCTCTGCCACTGCAACGACAACCCGAATGATACCAGTACGACTGAGCCTTACCAGACCTAGGCTAGGGCACTCGACTAAATGAAGTCCAAACTTGCTCGAGGACCGAGCGGAAAGCTCGACGGCTCCATTCCGTCTTCCGTCGTGGCCTTGAGAAAAACATCGACTTCTGATGCAAAAGTCTGAGGTCACTGGGGCCGCCACCAAGACTGGATAGGCCCAACTCAGATTCGACGCCATGAAGATGAAATCGCTGATAAAAGCCTGGGGCTGCTGTGAAGTTCCGTACACAAGATCAACACCTTTTGCGAGAAGATGGGCTACGGGCTGTGGCAAGCCTGGTGGCGAAAGTTTCAGAAACAGCAGCACACGCTGGAGACCCAGAAAATCTGAGGAGCCAACTTGCAAGCAGCATCGTCGCCGATGCTGGCAGCCAGCCGCGTCTTGGCCTTCGAGCACAAACACGTCGTCTACGCGTCTACGACTGGGGACCAAATTTGGCTCAGGCTCCCACCCTTCCAGGCCTTGGGCTCACCGACAGACGCTGAAAGTGCCATCTCAGTCATCTCAGATGTTCGCAAATTCCGAGGCTTCTGCCGCGGAGGTTTCGCGAACACGCAGAGCGGCAGTGGCGCCGCCATCGGATCGGACCCACACAAACAAGAGTCATGGTCTTCGGTGAGAGGTACATTAGCAGAGTTCAGTCTAAATTGTTACTCGGGGGTGTGCAACGCGTCTACCCGAGCTTTGCCTCTGCATAGACCAGAGCCCAAGAATGCGTCAACTGCCGAGGCGGCGCCGTGTTCTGCGAAAGCTTTGGGCAGGGTTGTTTATCGAACGACGAATCGCACCGGGACTTTCCACTGCAATTGCCAACCGACTCCGTAAATCCTCCCAAACTCAATCACAGTGGGTTCGATTGAGCAGCAGTCGGCTGGACACCTTGGAGTTCAAGGGAGCTGCTCTTCTCTGAAGGCTTGAAGAGTCCACTGAGATCAGTACCCAAGGTGCGCCTGCCTATCAGGATTAAGCAGAGGCAGCTGGCAGCTCGCGATGGCATGAGAGATCATGAGAGTGACTCCTAGAGTATTAAGGATTTCGCGGAACTTTTTGGATTCTTTTCGAAGTGCCAAAAGCACCTTGACAGTTCTCTCGCATCGAGAAGCCGTGAGACAGCCACGGCTGCTTTGAACCGCGGATCAATGCTCATAGACATTGTGACGTGTCGTAGACAGGTACACGAGGACCCTAAGCTTTGACGGGGCGTCCAAGGTCTGAGGAGTCTGAAGGAGCCAGGGCTGTGTAGTGCAACTTGAATCAAGTTGAGTAAACGGAAGCATCTCGGCCCCTTTCAAAGCTGCGGGTCTGACTGGCATGAGGCACCACGTAATGGTGCTCTGCCCTGCGCAAGCAAGTGCGCAAATTACAGATTTCCTCAACATGGCGGCTCCTTTTGCGTTCGCAGGCGCCCCCTCCCGGCTCGCGAGCCACAGTATCCTGATTCTCTTTCAGTTCGCCAAATAATGACCAAATGTGCCAGTGTGAGGCATACTTTAGTCTGACCTCCTGTGTTACTACTGCTACCGGAGAAAGAGTACACAAATTCTCAGGTTTCTACTCAACAGTCGGTTGCTGATTGGATGCATGGCAGCCCACGTTCTGCGACGCGAAAGAAGGGGTCATGGAGTTTGTTCATCGGATCGCATGCTGCTCCGTTCGAGCAGCCTAGCCTCTTCTACGAGAGTTAATGCTAAAACGGAAGCAATGGTTTGTGCAAAGGGTCAAGTCAAGGGTCAATTGGAGCTGCCTTGACGGCCTGCCCTCCAGTTGCCATTTGCACTCAGTGAGACTGCGCAGTCCGCCGTACCGACGGCTATCTGTCCCGGGAAAAATCTGAGAGGTCTTCGTAATTTCTAGTCAGCCCAGTCACCAGCGTCACTGCCGATGCTTGCACCGCGCGCAGATATCCCAAGCGCAGTCTCGCAATGTGATAACGTCGGGCTAAAGGGCTTTAGGGATAATGATCTCCCGGGCCAAAAGCTCGGATGCGTCACGTGGACTGAACAGAAAAAGGTTCGTCGTTCTCTCGTCCCGGCCGCCTTGCAGTGCCTGTCCTCAGGTTCGTGCTGCTTTCGGTGCTTGCAGCGACAGAGCTCGAAAAGCCGCTAAGCCAAGTTGCAGAAGCTGGGTGAGGGCAAGCAGCTTGTCAGCCTGCTCCGCAGCTCTCGCACGTAGAGTCTCCTGCGAGCTTTCGTCTTTCAGCCTGGACTGCACACCTGCAGCCTTTTTTGCTCCTGGACTCAAGTCTAGCCAGACTACGACCTGCATCATCTTGAGGCCGACATGCGGCCCCGATACCCACAGCTCCGACTCCAGCCAGACCTGTAAACCCTAAACCCACCGTCTGCCCCTCGTGAAGCCTCCTGCAGTTCCGCAGAGTTGCGCCGTGCTTTCGATGCGAGATCTCTGAAGCAGGTCGTCAACCTCAGGAAGACGTGACAAGCAACTTGGGCCTCGTAAAAACGGTAATTACGGCAGCATAAATATCATGGGAATAAGCCCCATGGCAATAGGAACATGGTGATAATAATAGTAATACTGTTGTAACCTGCAAACTTCCTTTGCAATGCAGCACAAAGGATCAGCGGGAAGCTAGCAACCCCGACAAGGGACAGAACGCACATGAATGCACAGCTTGCAGGCAAGGGGCTCGACGAGAGATATCTTCAGTTCTGCAGTAGCCACTGGCACCTCATGCAGTTGCATAGAACCCATAGTCAAGGTGACTGCCGTGACAGTGCCATCCCGTCCAAAACAAGCTCCTTCAATATAACCACAACCTTTTGCTTGAAATACCGCCACTCACATACACCATGTGAGTTGTCAGACTTCTTTGGCATGTCCAAAAAATCACAGCAAATTTTATGTCTGGGCGAGTTTTGCTGCTATCATTGTCAGGTTATCAGATATCAGTACCATTATCCTAGTCATAGTAAGAACCCAAATGAGAATAGCTTCGATTATAGTCATAATCACAAATACCAGGACAAGCGTGTGCAGCATGTCCTTGGCCTGCCCGAGATTTGGCGACCCTACCCGAGCACCGTTTAATATACTATTTAACACCCTATGAAATTGTATGATATATTATCTACACCATGATATACTACAATATGGCTCTAAGTCACTAGAGTCTTTAGTTAACGCTTGGTGCATGTCGAGAATTGTCAAAATCCGCTCGTCACACAAACCATTGCACAAGTTTTTGCTGAATGGGGATTCTTTCACTGTCATCAGCATCTGCCCCTCATGAGATGTGGTAGAAAAGATGTGCTCTCGATTTGCCAGGCTTTGTACTGTACCCAATTGGCAAGCCCCACAACGGTACAACTCAATCGCTTGCCAAAGTGCTTCGCGCGCTTCTGTGAGCTGCTTCTGTGCAGCCACAAGATCAACGAAGGAGTCCAGGTCCTGCAATGGGGCTCAGCGCTTTTGGCGCGCGTAAGGCGCGGCCATCTCCCACGCAAGGCTCCTCCGCACTCCAAGCTGGTGGCGCCAGTTCTCGGAGGATACCTCGCAAATCAGGCACTTTAGGGTGTGTAGAGAATCACGTCGTGCGTCCCAGGTGCTCTTGTGCTGCTGTAGCTGCATCGGCTCACCGGTGGAAAAACCTGAGCAAACTGCACATCGGCCAATCGAGCGGTCAAAGAGCTTGAAATGCCCCAATAGATTGACATCTGGCGCCTCTGCGTGTTACCAGCTCCACCGCTCTAGGCCCAAGTATGGTCTTTTCGATGTGCGGGCTCACCTGCCAAGAAACCAAGAGCCGTCAGCATGTTGCCCAGGTCATGCTGCCAGGGAGCCAGAACTATGTCGGCGGCAGGCTCGTCCAGGACTTCAGCCAGATGTGTACTGGAGGCCTGCAACCCAATACATGCCCCAGCATTTGCTATGAGAAAAAAGCCAGCCTCATCCTGGTCGACGACGACATCCACAAGAGAAGTCTCCGGCTGTGGCTCTGTCGGCACCAGAATTGCCTGCCCCGAGCGAGCGCAGTGTTCGCTTCATGAGGCGTGCTGCAAGCATGAGCTGTGCAAGGTTCGTGGGAAAATGCCCGTAATTGCTGCCAAAGAACAGATGCTCTGAGAGTTGTTCTTGACGTCCTCATGCAGACCGTACGTCGCTGCGCGACGTGCGCTATAAAGTCCGGCAGAATGTAGGACTCTGGCCTTGCGAGGCCAAACATTCAGTATTAAGCGTTGCTGTGGGAGGTACAAGCTGCGAACTTTTTGTCTGGGCACGTCAATTCCCTTGTCGCATAAATTCGCAAAACAGCACTCATCGTAACGTTAGAAAAGGCCATGGCTGTGGTAGTACTCCGCCCTCTCCTGCTAAATCTTAGTAACAGCAATGAAGCACCCTGGAGTCCATGTCGGCCCAAGACTACGTCACAAAGTGTGTTAGGAGTCTTTATTATGCGCTAGCTGCTAGGCCCTGCTAGCCCCAAAGCAGCAGAGGCTTCATGACTGTGACCACAGGAAGGGGTAGTTAGTCCTGAGGGCACTGTGCACAGGAACATACAAACACAGAACCGGTCCCGCACTAGCCCCTGCAGTCTCATGTGGGAGAAACAATATGTCCCCCCTAGCTGGTCCTAGCAATGAATCCTCTCCGGCCAGACTTTCACTGAGAGTGAGCACATGTAATGCGACTGCTGCAAGACAACGCAGGGCCGGAGGTATACTCGCAGTGGCAATGAGTGGATACAATGACTCGGCAAGTCTGGAACACCTGCACACCTTCTTAGATGCTCTCACGGCTCCTGGCACTAGTGCTTGATGAAGCAGGTCGTGAGAAGGTAAGCTTACTTCGTACGGAAATTGGCAGCACACCGGCCGGTTCAGTACGACCTCCACACTTTGAAGTATCGGAAGCAGGCGTGACGCAAGTTTATGGCAGTTCCTACCCTTTTGTCAAATCTGGCAAGGGACGAGGCCAGATGCAGCAAGCTCTGGTTGAACCTCTGCTGTATCTCGACCACTGGGAGATCGTTGTAGTCCCGGCCGAAAGGCTGGTCAATCTCCTGGGCAATGTAGAACCTGCAAGTGTGTTGAGGCAACTGATGTACTTCAACTTCAACCCTGCCGCTTCTGGCCTCCATCGATCAGAGGAAATTCTAAGGCAACGAATGCATGACGAGGCACAAGGTCCAGTAAGAGGTAGAAATCAACCAAACCGTGCCACCAGCCCATGACCACTCGGAAATGAGCTGGACGGCGACCAAGGGGCTCACGATCCAGTGCAATACCAGCATGAAGGAAAGATACTGCGAATATGGGAAAGGGAACGGTACTTCCACAATCTTTCGCAGTTCTGCAACATTGACCATCCCTGCAGCTTCGGGTCTCGACATGCAACGAACACAGACACGCAAACACACAGCACATCTCTATCCACCCTTACCCGCTCCCGCGCCCAAAACTGCAAGGCACACAAACAGTCAGAGAGAAAAAGGGAGACAGATAGAGAGACAGAGATAGAGATAGAGAGATAGAGAGATAGAGGCAGAGGTAGAAGTAGCTCGAGAGAAATCTAGCCCAGCTGCCCGTGCCTCCCGCCCACACACGCCAAACGCCCACCAGTGTCACAACTGCTACACACCCTTGCGATAGACCTTGTGCCGAGATGCCGTCCGATAGTTCCTGGAAGGCTCTGGACAGCACCGGTGGCGCGACATCGAAAAGTTTCTGCTTCTCGCTCTCTACGATGAGACGCTCGATCCAAAGCATGACCGTCTCGCACCTGAGCACACACGATGCCACGCCGGGGGCAGTGGTCAAGAGCGCATGCCGACTCGAACACTGGTGGCCTGTCTGGACTGGCGTGCAAGTACTCCATGCTCTCAGGACTCAGGCCAGCAAGGTCCACGACCTCGATGTTGGTCTCGTCGGAAAGCTCTGCAACCTGTCGCAAAAACGGCACAGACTGACTGCACCACTGGGTTTTCCCAAGTTCCTTGGCCTCATGAAGCGCATAGCAGTGCAGTAGGCTCATCAATCTCAGCAAGTATTCGCCTTGGTCATGCACGAAACCACCCCGAACCGACAGAGCTCTCGCAGTCGAATCTCTGAAGCAAGGCGCGAAAATGGCTCACCTCCGCCTCTCGTTCTGCACTCTTGGTGCAAAAGCCTAGCAGGCTGCTGAATGCGCTGGTCCATTCGCCACGGATTTTGTGTGTGAGTGACACCTCGGTACAACGGGTTTGCTGCGCACATGCGACGGTCCCGTTCTCGTCAGGTGCTGGCCAGCTGCGCTCTCCCAGAACCGAGAATATGCTTGGTTGCTTCGGAAGACGATCAGGAATCCCAGGATGAAGGTATACCCAGACCAGATGCTATCCAACCCGGACGAGTTCTCGAAGTACTCCTGCATGGCATCACGCCACCATATGTGGATGAAAACAGTCCTTGGCGATTCTGACATATCACTCTTGGCCGCAGCCTAACTCACCAGTCTCTTTTCACTTCGGCGAGGCCGAAAGTTGAAGCGAAATCCGCGAAGCCCTTGCAACCATGGAGCAGCACGCTGCATGGCACAGACCAGATCAATGCCTTTGGGACAACTGAACCTCGAACTTTGCAAAGCACCTGCATTCCCCACCGTCCTTGGCTTCAGATTACGTCCAGAATCTAGATCTGTGCACAGACTGATGGCATCTAAACTGGCTAGTGCCAACCCGGATCCATGGTGGTACTCGATCATGGCGAGCTCGGCAGGAGTGGCTAGGACCGGGCTCCTATGTTCCTGGTGCTTGTGAGCCCAGACTTCCTTACAAACAGCACGGTAAAAAACAAAAAATCGATACTCTCTGGGTCGTTCGCGGGATCCGGATCGGGATTCCAAGCAGACAAAAGCCTCATGTAAGCTGCTCTCAGGTCTGCACTGCGCCTGCGCAAGCAAAGCCACCAAGCGAGCGTACTCCTTCTCCCTGGAAAGGCCAGGGGTCAAATCTCTCGGCAGCAATAATAACAAAAGTAATTCTCATAACTTAACAATCAAATTAGAAATGCCAATACATTATAGGAATAAGAATCATCATGATTCAGATCTGCCCCCAGGCGCCCGAGGCCTCGCAAGCCGTTCCTTCAAGGCGGCAAGAGTTGGTCGCAGGTGCCTCAGAGCCCGAGCAAAGCGGCTCCGATCCGAGAGAGGCTCCTAGATAGGACGAGGTCGGCACTCCGAGCATAAGCTGACGGAGAGCCCAAGCTCCTCGTACCTAGACAAGGACAAATCATCCCTGAAGTGGGCGTTTCATGATTTCAATCTCCCAGGATTTGACAAATCTCCTTCTGCACGAAGCCGCGAGATTACAAGCCCTACGAGCTTCAGAAAATCCCGCCTGTGCGGCGTGCTAAACTCCTACTCCTGCAGCAAATGTTTTCAGGCACCTCCTCTGCTGCAGATACCCACTTGCTCTGCAGTACATGGGCAACTAAGACGAAACGTCACGCCATGATTGGATTCGATGTCCGATCTAGTCAGCGTAACCTAAGTTAGTTCCTCGTTGCGACTTGGCAATTTCGAGGTGCCTGAGCCATTCTGCACGAAGACTAACTGCAGGCTCGCGGCCCAATTGGCCGACGTGCCCGGGAATTGAAACCACCGCGAGAAGGACAGAAGCTAGTGCACCACCGTAGGGACACGAGGCGGGCTGCTTGTGGCGCACACAAGCAGAGAAAACGGCCAACGCCAAGCTCTCTGTGTCGGAGCAAGGCGGTCGCACACCGCTGTGTTCATGCCGAGCAAACAACTTCCGGAAATGCCCTCTTAGGCTCTACAAGTAAGATTGCCGGGAACCTTTGAAGCAGATGTACAGCCGAATACAGTAGGTTCTGTCAGCTGCACTTCTCGGTCTCCGCGTAACACGCAGTGAAACTGATGACTGATGCCGGTGTCGAGCCTCAGGCCCAGAGACTCACGAGAACCTCGGCTGTAGCTCGCTCCAAGCACAGTAGCACCAAGTTCACCCAAAACTTGTCGGGAAAACGAAATGGCGATGCGTGAAGAGACATGTTCAAGACCGAGAGGCAAAAGCTGCTAAGTTGGCAATGAGGGCACCCATCTGGCCACAGAACCCCATGTTTTCGGTGATCTCCTGGACCTGGGCGTTGAGATGCGTTGAGCATCCCCTGACATCCCTTTCATTCTGTTCTGAAAAGCTCACGCAACTCACCAGTGCCCAGGCCATTCGTTGTTGCCCAAGGCCGCGCGCATAGAGATACATGGTTGTAACCTTGGCATGCCGGGGCCAGGCGGCCGTGCCAGGACACGTCATTTTCGGCAACCGAGGCTAAGCGGCTAAGCCCGCCGCCAGCAAACCACGAGAGAAATAAAATAAGCCACAGATCAAAGGCAAGAGCAGCACCGCGAAACTGTAGCTGAACCTCAGCACTCAGCAGGGCCCAAGATGGCTGACAGCTCTGCGCACTACCTGGAGCCAATCACACCTGAGCTGCTTGCCAAAGGGATGTGTTGCACACGGCTGTCACCACACAAATGGTGAACGAAGCCTCAAGCAGCGTTACCAATGCCAGCTTGAGCCAGTGACTTCTTTCGATCTTGGGTGCTGGCCGTCAGCAGCAACATCCACGTAAAGAACACTATTTTGTTTCCATGCACTAGAGCCGTGGCCAATCGTCCCAGGACATCGCCTGGCCAGATCTCAGCATAGCGAAGAAAAGACTGAAACAGCGGTAACTGCACAGATATGTCGACTGTCGCAGTTGCACTCAGCAGGGGCATGCAGCGATCTGGTAGTCTATCGAAAAACATGACACGAGTTGCCTGAATTCTGCAGCACCTGCATCCACAGCAGCAGCTGTTGGCTCTCCTTCCATGGCGAGTGCTGATGCGCAGATTACGCACACAACATGTACTCAGGCGCTGCTTGGGCTACTTGGGCCAGCCGAGTCGCCGTGGTGCTGGTGAAATGCCCAGCCTTGCTCACAACTTGTGCTCAGCCTACAATCCTCTCGAAGCGCGGCGAACTGTCCCCTACCAGTACAATTATGGGGACCGGACCATGAAAGGCATCAGAGTCGGCATGGTGTATGTGGTGGCATAGACTACGAAGCAGCCAGCCATCAAGAATTTCGCCTTGGCTTGAGAGGATGACCTTTACCACTTAGAGCCCGTCGATACACGTTCTGACCGCAACTGTCACATGGAAGCTTCATCTCTACCGCTCGCCACCACTCTGCACTGAGTTCTCGCGGCAATCAGTGCAACAGCTTCACAGCCTGCGTGAATATGCTTCATATTCACCCGGCACCCATATTGAGTGTAGTGAGTTTGCTTGTCTGCGATCTGATCATCTAGCAATCTAGCCTTGCCTGTCTAACCGAGCTGGCAACCGGGTCGCAATCCTTGGCATGGGTGGCTTCGCAGTTTCGCATTCTGCAGGAGAGGTACCTGTCTGAACCATGGTGCCAACACCACAGGGACAATCAACCTGCACTCGATTATACAAGCCCAGTCTAGCAAATTGCGGACCTGCCGGCGAGTTCAGGTTTCCCTGTCGAATGAGGAGCCTGCTGTTGGTTGCGAGCTTCACCCGTGATCGCCCGGAAGTCCGGACATCTCGCACAGGCAATTCACCCCATCACCTACACCGCCCTCGCAGGGCGCACCATTCTCAGCATCTGCATGCCCGTTCTGGCTGCTCGTTTGACCGCAGCTTTTCGCTGTGAAGGCTCCTCCCTGGCCGGCCTGCTGACAAGGACGGATTGGATTCCATCTCGATTCTATGGTTCTGGACGGTAGCCTGGATGACAGCAGCCAGAATGAAAAAGGCAGCAGGGCCAAATCTCGGCGACTTCTGGTCACATCCAGCTAGCTGCCTCCGCAAGCGCAGTGAGGCTCGCCAGTTGATTGCTCTGTCTGGCTTTCCACAGAGTTTAGATTAGCGTCCCAAGACTCCCACAGAACATGCGAAGTTCAAGCAATCAGACAGTGCACATGTTTTTGCTGGGGCGCATCGCAGCAAACCCGGTAGCCAGCAGTCCACCAAGAGTCATCCCCACACCTCAGCAAAGAGACAGCAGGCACAGCGACAAGAGCAAGAGCCAAAGAGAGAGACAGAGAGACAGGGACAAACGAGCAGAGTCCTTGCGGCGGCGGCACTCATGCCACGAACGCAGGAGGCAGGTCGCTGCGCTACTGCAGCCCAGTAGGTGACACTGCTCATGCATCCTGGCTGAAGCGCAGTCTCGATTCCCAAAGAATGACATCGAGCACGGCTGGTCACACCTACGCTTCCCGCCAAGACCGTGCAGAAAAGGAGGATCGGTGTAGATTTCCACATCACCGAGCAGGCCACCAATGCTATGACCTCACAAAGGTGAACCGAAATCTTCGGAAAACTCTTCGTGTGAGTAAGGGCCCCGGCCGCTACGACTTGAAAGAATCCAATGGCACAAACAAGGTTGCCAGGCCGTCGTCTTGTTAGCGCTTTGTAGATGATCGGGGCAATGTTCCCTGGCAGCGCGGGCGGTTCAAGCAATCAAACACAGCCCCAAAGCCTCAACTTCAACCACCCTTAGCAACAAAAACACCCTGCCAGGCACCTATCTGTGTGCACACCGCAATGAGGTTTCCCAGGCGTTTCCCCTCGGGTAGCTCGGCCACGAAGAAAGGCAGCTCTGCCTGGGAGCCAACTTTTCCAGATGGCGTCGGCATGCAACGACGGGGTAAAAACCCGAGACCGCCCCTGTTTTTTGGCAATTGAAATCGAGTAATTTAGGTGAGGGTTAAGGAGTTCTGAGGCAAAGCGGCCTTCGGGCACATTAGCCCGGCAGTCGCTAAACTGGCAAGTCAGCCAGAGAACACTGCTCCACATTTCATGATCAGGGATGCGAAAAATCGCCTGAGACACATCCAGAACGCAACTTAGCCCCCAAAGAGCACGAAGCTACTCCTGTGCAGTTGTTTGGCTAAAACCAGCTCTTTTGCAAACTTTGTCGCGCCTGGCCCTGTTGGAAGCCATAAGTTTTGGAGTATTGAGCACTCGAAAGCTTCTAGCTTTACCCACAAGTACGAGGCACAACACCCTCTAACCAATAAGCTCGAAAGTTTATGTGCGGACAGGATTCGGTGATTATGTTCAAGCTCCACCAGCCACTCCTTGGCACTAGACTCGGACGTGGAAAACTCGAAGAGGCATATGGCAGCCAAGAGTCATTCCTGTGAGATACCACCTCGACAAAACACGGCGACAGCAGCTTCGCAGATTCAGATGCAACCTGGGGCTACCACGCTGAGAGTTCCGCATATGTAGCTTCCTGGAGCAGTTTCCGGCGGGAATTACAACACAGTGCACAGTGCTCTCAACCTGTGCTATGCTGCATGCTCCTCGGCATCGGGGTGACTTTCGCCACTCAGCGCGCGCAGAAGGCCCGTCTGCCCGGACTGCATGCTTGCAGTTGCCTGCAGGGCGGTCTCGCCACCGGAATGGCCTTGCAGGGGACAACTGCACTGGGGGGGACGTTCTTGGAGGTCTTGCCGGTCTTGCCGCCTGACTTTTCTGCCTCCTAACTTAAGGCCCTGACTTCTGGAGCTTCCAACTGCTGGGAGCATCGCCGACTATCCGCAGGATGCGGCATCGGGCTCTACACAGCGTTTGTTGAACACAAGCTGCGGCGACCAGAGACCTGTTAGCCTGGTTAGCCTTTTTCTGCGCTTCCTCCAATCTGTTCGTGAGGTCGATCCACGCAGCATTGCCAGCCCTGAGTGCGCAATGCATCCCGAACGAGCAAAAATTGCCTGTGTCGATCTTCTGTGGCATGCCGTCTGATCTCGAAGTCCCTGGGGAATGGCTCGATGCCTTGGCAATGGAGATCCACATGCTTCCAGTGCCTATGCAGGCACTGACTTTTTTGAGGTTCCCTCCAAGGAATGAGGCGATCTGGTCGAAAAGCTCGCGCGGGCGACTCCGCAAGAGCTCAAACCTGTCTCATGCACGGGAATGACTGGGCAGTGCAATCGAAATTTCATCCTGCAGCCAAGCATGGGTTCCGTGCTCCAACAGCAAAGAGCGACCAGCCGAGGGTGGGAAAAACTTCACCTGAACTCGCCGTCCTGCAGCCCCTTGCTTTTTGCTTCTACATCGGAAGGCCCCCGGCAACATGCTCCAAGGACTTGGACAGGAATGCATCCTGGACACTTCTACTTAAACCAAGTCGCTGCATCCCCTGCAGCGAACCTCAACATTGACATCTTCGAAGGTCGCGCCGTTGAGAACGACGTCCTCCAATTGCAAGTCGAAGCTGCTTCGAGGACTAGGACGGGAGACTGAGCCTCCAAGGAGGGAACTTCCGAACACGTGCTGGGCTGCTGGCACCTAGCGAAGTACTCTGGCGACCGCTTCCAAGCACGCAGATCACAGCCGAGTCACAGATAAAACTTTCGCAGGTTGTAAAGCGACCTCATGCACGGCGGAGTCAGGCCCCTTGACCAAAAGACGTGAAGGTTCTGTGTTCTCATGTGGATCCGGATCAGCTTGATTGCGGAAACTAGCAACGTCTGGGGAGCGGGCTCCAGCCACTCGACTGGCTCGCGCACCATGACAACGAGACGCAGATTCGGGATCTGACAAGGAATGCAAGCAGATGGGATGCAACAAGCTGCAAGAAAAAATGCGCTGCCTTCGAAGCCAGCCTGATCACTCGCTGACCTCAGACTTCTGCATGCGCACTGTTGCCGATCGGATGCTCTGGGCCGCCAAGGCATCAGGACCGGACTCGCGGCGAGACCTTCACCTCAGCTCGGAGAACAAAAACCACACAAGGATTTCCTGAACAAGCTGCAGGTCTTGTCAGGACAATGGCCTTTGCCGCCCCAAAGCCTTCGCCTGGCAGAAAGAGCAAGCATCGAACCTCTGCCAGCGGAACGACAGCCGTCGTCGTGTCAGTAGTAGTCGTCGTCGTAGCAGTAGCAGTGGTAGCAGCAACAGCAGGAGCAGCGATAGCAATAGCAACAGCAGTAGCAATAGTAAGAATAATGAAACTCATGTTCGTGATTACTGCTAGTATCAGCAATAGCAGCGGCAGCAGTAGCAATAGCAGTGGTAAAGGTAAGGGCTGTTGTTGTTGCTGCTGTAGTAGTGGTAGGTAGGGGTAGTAGTAATGGTAGTAGTGGTGGTAGTGGTAGTGGTAGTGGTAGTGGTAGTGGTAGTGGTAGTGGTAGTGGTAGTGGAACATGAGTAGTAGGAGCAGCAGCAGCGGCAGCAAGAGCAATAGCAATGGTAACGGCAATGGCAGTGACAATGGTAATGGTAACATTAACAGCAACAGTACTAGTGTTACTGTTACTAGTGATGGTGCCAATATAGTGTTATACATCTGTATACATACCGTATTTGTGTGTATGCATGAATGAATGTATGTATGTATGTATGTACGTAAGTCATAGTGCATATTGGGCATATTGGAATCATGTAGCTGAGGGACTCCCCCAAAATGAGGTGTTCTGCAGGTTGTTCCGCGTGTGCCGGGGCCGAATGTGCAGCAATTTCGAGGGGGCGCCGTGTGCGGCAATCCCGCTCCGTGCTGAAGCCTTGCCTCCAACGAGAGTTGGGCCTAAACTTGCTTTGGGAGCCTCAGCAGAAAGAGAAGTTGTTCCATCGGCGACGCTCTCGCTTGCGCACCCTGTCGCTGGAGAAAAGTATAGCAGTATAGCACACTCTTCCGCGCTGGAAGCGGGCGGGGACATGGTTTGCGGGGTGTCTCCCTGATTCTGCAAGGAGATGCCGTAGACCGTCAGCAGTGTCCAGTAGCATGCTCCACATGCGGTGTCCCCCGTCATCATCGGTTGAAGGACTTGCCGTAGCATCCCCGAACCCATGCTCCCCACAAGTACATATTGCTCGGCTTCGAATCTAAGTGCAGGCATGCTGCCAGCTACTACGACGTACAATCAAGTCCACGCCTGGGTCCCTCGTCCTCATCCTTGAAGAAAGACGCGTAGCGCCACACCTGGAGCGCGGGCAGCAGAAGAGAATCAAGATAGCTTTATCAAAGTTGACCTGCCGGGCAGGTGTGGCACCTTCCGAATCATTCCGAGTCAATAGCCTGCAACTGCTGAGGCAAGGCTGCCCAGTTGAACGTCATCTCTTGCTCCGAAAATTTCACCTTGTCAAATGGATGGGTCTTACGGAAAACAGGTCGAAGCCGCTACCTGGCCTGGGGATGCTCCATTAAATTTCCACCTTCGCCAACACGTGCTGAACATATCAACATGGACAAGCAACGCAAGATTTTACGTTGACAGCTGTTGACAGGGTTCTCGGTGTCTGGCGAAGCGTATGAGTCCCTGAACGGGCGAAGCCGGCTACCAGGAAGTCGAGTTTCACATCCTCCCAACCTTGAAGGTAAGATCTGCAGCGAAGAAGGAGAGAACTGCGCTCAGGATGAAACTGCATGCTTGTTGCCGGGCAAACAAAACTCAAGCTGATTTGCTTTTCTCTAGCGAGGCAGTGACGCTTTCAAAAGGTGCCAACTGCAGGCGCCGTCAGAATTACCCATCATCAAGCGCATACTGTCGGGTCCAGTCTTGAGCCTGCATCTGTCAAGTGAAGCGGTGCGTCGACTTTAGATGGATAGGCTGTGCCGTCTGTGCCTGCTGGTTGAACTCAGATAAGCTTCTCTCTCGCTGCTTCCATGCTTGGGGATTGCCACAGCCGTCCTTGCCCGGAGCCTGACAGGATACGGACGGCTCTCGCGACAGGACAGGCTGTCGTCTTTTCGGGGCTCCTCCAGGATGCCTGAGATGCCAACTGCGACCTCGAAGCACAAGACTCGAGACGCCCACCCTGCTCGGCCCTCCTCTCACAGGCAAATGAGCAGCTGGCCCTGAGTACAGTAAGTGCAGGTGACCAGGAAGGACCCAGAATGTCAAGATCAATCTCGCCAGTTTGAGGATTCACGTCAGGCGCCCAAACGGGAGTCGCGAATTTGATCCGCGGCGGCTTGAAGGGGTAGTCATGTGGGAACTGCACGTTCAGCTTGAAGACCCCGCCGCTGTAAGGACTCTCATGTGGGCCAGGTATCACTAGACTCCACTTGTCGCCCGGACCATCAAAGTCCGGGTCCTGTGCGCAACGGCAACTGAGCAGAATATACGAATTTCAATTTTGCACATCACAGATTCACAGAGACCCGACGCAGATATCAAATACTCCGCGCCTCCACTGGCTCAATGAGGAAGCTGCTTGGCTCTCGCTGATAATCCCGCAGCTCCTTAGCCAGCCGCTTGGCTGCACCGGGGTGGAGCTTGCGCCTGCGGAGGAGTAGCTGAAGTCCTGAGCTGCAAAATACTCAAGATCTCAGCTCTTACTCTGCACGAGTCCAGATTTCGTCTGCAAGGTCTTTTGTGCTGCCTTTGAGCAGCAACTTGCGCGTCCTCTGCTCCATCTCTGCAGCTACTCTGCTAGTAACGCTGGTGGCCGTTTAGTCGACAGACGTGCCTCATGATCATATCAAGGCCCTGCATGCCACGCTGCCCATCACTCACGAGCACACGGTCTCGCCGCAGGTTCTCGCTCTCTTCTGCAATTCTTGCATACTACCCACTCTGGGACAAAAAGTTGTCCCGTGTCAACTGAACGCGGTCCCGTCTAAACCAACAAGGAAGGTAAAATGATGAGCCATTTGCCTCAGGGCCACTCATTCCAGGGGCGAGGGTCTCGGCAATTGACCGGAAGGCTCCGACTCGGGGTAAGGCCGTTTCTCCAAGCAAGAGGTCCACTTGGGAAGCGTCCTGAACAGGCTCTCTTCAGCAACCAAAGTAGGCGGCTCAGGTTTTCGTATATGCAGGCAGAAGCACAACCCTTCTGGGCAAGAAATCGTTCATTCATGGTGGCATGCTGCCAATCTGGCCTTCCGCAGGAAAACAGCGACGGACTTTCTGAAGTCTTCGAATCTGTCCGCCAAGGACGAGACAGATCTCACAAATTCCGTCCCTGAGCTGCAAGGGCCCACATCTGCAGAGGAGTACAAAGTCATGCAACGTGCGCACAACGCGGCAAAGCTGCCATCCAATCGCACGATGACAACGTCCAGCCTGAGCGGTTTTGGTAGGGCCACAGACCGTGCTCTTGACGACCGGTCAGTATGACACAATGCGATCTGGGTGCGGGAGCTGGTGTCCGCTCGCTGCGATCCACTCCTGGTCTTCTTGGCTTTGCGGAGAGCCGCAGCTTCCCCTTTCCTTACCGTTGGTTAGTAGGGAATGGAAGAATGGTAGTAATAGTAGTTATAATAATTATACCCCATTCCTCCATTCCCTACCAACCAACGGTAAGTTTCCGCCGGTTTCTGGCTGTCACCCTCGCGTGGCTCTGCCAAGGCGGCGCGGAGCTCCGCGGACTCGGCCTCGGAGGGCAGCTCCGCCAGCGCATCCAAGGGGAGCCACTGCACCACCTGCAGCGAAGCGGCCCAAGGCTGAAAGTCCGTATGTGTGTGTGTGTGTATATATATATATATATATAGTATATAACATAAATTTGTGAAAGTCTGGTTCTGCTAACACCGGGTTGTTGTACAGAAGCCTAATAATCCGTTTAGAATCCGTTTTGGATGCATGGGGAAAGGCGTTTGGTAATCCGTTTGGAATGCATGTGCGTTTGCAGGTCCGCGTTGGATGCGTTTTGAATGCGTTCTGGATGCGTTTTGGATCCGTTTTGGGTCCGTTTTGGGGTCCCGGGGCTTGGGGCTCCAAACGGATCCAAAACGGATCCCCAAACGGATCTGAAACGCATATTTAGGAAATTTAGCATTTCCAGAGTTAGCAGGCAACAGATTTTCACAAATACAATTAATTATATAGTCAATTTTGTATATAATTACTTATATAGTTATGTATACTTATGCAGATCCTACGCCGAGGCTGACGGCCGCTGCCCATCGCTGCCCTCCCGACCTTCAGGTCCTGGACCTTCCCGTCGGAGAGCCGAACTGCCGCTTGAAGCTTCGCCGTGTCATCTCTGAGGTCGACGGCTTCGAGAAGACCTCAAAAATTCGATGAAGACAGATCAAGCCTGCACTGCACTCTGCGCCCACACTTCCTAGTGACTAAGTGGTTCAAGATGCAGCCAAAGGGCCTGCAGCACCTACTAAGCTGGCGCAGGTTGACGACCATGCGAGGTTTGGATGGTCCAGCACCGCACCCTTCAGCCACTCGTCGTCGGCGGTCACCTGCACTGCTTGGTCCGGTCGCAGGGGCGCCTTCGGCGAATCCATGGCAGCCGATCATGCCACTGCAGCTGACATGTTGTTTTGGGGCACAGTGACATGACGCATAGGCTCAGCTTGCACAATGTATCCAAAGAATTCCGTGTTGCATTCAGAGCTTGAGTTGCTGCAGCACAAAGACAAGTCAGAGACGGCACCAACGACAAGCGGCATAAGCTCCATTATATGTCGAACAGTCACAGGCTTTCGCAGAATTAGCACCAGGTGCTTATAGTCTCAGCGCGCAGCTTGCCAAAGCCCGGACATTCCGCAGCCTTCCGGCAGTGCAGAACCAGCAAGGCGCAATTTAGGCAAGGGCGGTGTTGCTTCAGGTGTAACGGAGACGCTATGCACCAGCTTGTGCATGACCCAGCACACCAAGAAATCTTGTCGCTTGCGAACGGTGAGGGTCGCGCTCGATCTCAGAATTCGGCTGCAAGGCCTGCATGGACCGAAGCAGGAGGCTGAAGGGGAATATGTGGAATCAGGGTGTGGAATCAGACACTGGATGTAGCCCCACGTATACGGAGCCACGTGTCAGTCAGTCCTCCCAGGTCTTTCAGCTCTCTGCTCTCTGCTTTCATCGCTAGGTCGCTTGGCTGTGTTGTTCTACAGTGCTCTGGCATACAGAGCTGAACTCTCAAAAGTCATTGCGATCAGCTGCAGGCCTCCCAAGTCAGCCCACGTTGTGCTACCAGCCGAGTGACCTCGGCTAAAGGAATCTTGGAAGCCCACGGCTGCGACAGAAATTCTGCTCTCGCCCCAGAAGACATGCAAATCCCGGCGAGGCTGGTTTTCCAAGGCAGTCCATGGTCGGTAGCAGGCGTCATGCACCTCAGGTGCTCGTGCAGACCCGACAAATGCTAATTCCTAGAACGAAGTCAAACATCCTTCAGCCGATAGGACGGAGCCAAGCAGCTTGCGCAGAAACCCAGGGATACAAGAAGCATCTAGGATACCGATCATCACGTCGTCAGCATAGTCCTCATTGCTTCCACAGTAAACGTAAGATTAAACCATCGATCTCCCACCCGTTCACCTGCAAGCTAAAACTCGGGACCAAATCCATATAAGCATTGACATCCATCCAGACGTCACACATGCGTGCGTACTTACATACCTACTTACCTACTCCACACTTGAAGGGTTGTCTTACAGGCACACCGGCATAGCCGACAGTTGTGTGGCGACAACAGTAAGTTCTGGAGCGCGGAATACATCAAGAGGAGTGCCGGTTCTGCGGCTTCTGCTCTCAACCGGCCTGTTGGCTCCGTGAAGATTGCAGTCCTACCTGAGTCCCACCACACTCGGCACATCCGCAGCCTGTCCCGCTTTTTTTCAAGGAAAGGTGTTATGCTTTGCTCCGGCTCCGGCCCTGACATGCCCTGACACACTTATGATCTAGCTGTGTGTGCGAATGTGCGCGAGCATTCCACGCTCCTTGTGCTGCACGCACAGAGCTAGAGCAGCTAGAGTGCTGCCGTCGTCGTCGTAGTTTTGGAATGACTGGGCCTGCGCCGAAATACTACACTTTCGTCTCCGGGCCACCAGAAAACACTCTCCAACACGCGAAGATGTTCACGCTCATCGCATGGAAGCTTACAACGACATGTCCGATGCATGTACGGCACCCCTGCATACAAACCCGTCGGGTCCAGAACGACAGGCAACTGGTGGTCTTTCGGCAGCACCTGTACACGATACATATTTCCTCGCACGCACTGCACCTCGAAGCCCCGCATGCCAAGCACGATCGCTACAAGAGCCTTGACTCGAGATGCTGCATCTGTCCTTGGTTCCACAACCAATCCCTGCAAGAGGTCACAACACGTCCCCAGCGAAGGCCAAGAGCCACGATCAAGCAAGGAATTCCACTGTCCGTAAAGGGTCCCTCGCAGTCGAACACGCTCTCGTTCTGGAACGGATCCGCAACTCGTCTCGTCTGGCTCCTGTTAGGCCACACTTCTCGAGCTGTTGAGATCTCGAAGGGCTGATAGGAAGCCTCTCTCAGCTCCACCAGGCTCCAACGCTTCTCCAAGAACTCGAAGGCCACGCCTGCCTGCGAGGTGACTACGTGACTACATGCCGCTTCTAGGCTCTTCACCGACCCCGATCGATTGGCACCTCGCCTCTTCCAGGAAAGCGGTCAAATAAACAGCCACTGCTGCATGCATAGTACTATTCGGCCAGTCGGCCTAGCAAGATACACCACTTCTGGACCGAATGTCTTTGCGTGCGCATGATTACGTGCAGCTCCCGCAGGTCACAGTGTCCTCGAAGGGCAGTGGAAGCTGCGAGAGCTGCTCGGAGACGTCTTCAGCTGCCGAGCCTAAAATGTGCAAAACACGAGGCCCGAAGCCAGCGGCAGAGGGATTCAGCGCAAACCTGGCCTACGAAGACGTTCAACGAGATCGATGGACCTGCAGGCCAGTTCATGCCCGCAGTGCAATCACCGGTGATCAAAAGACAGCCTTCTGCCCCAGAGGACGTGCGATGTGCCCACAAGGGAGGAAGGTACAGCCTTTGAAAACCGCTTGCACAGTCGCAGCACTCGTCTGCCGCAGCGTCATAAGCACGAGTTCTTGCACTGCCCGCCGAGCCACGCATCGCCAGGCTGCAAAGTGATGGTTGAGAATGTAGATCCTGCAGTCTCTCGCTATGCTCGAAACCGGCCCAGCCGACAATTGCTGGATTAGACAGACTTGGCGCCTGTGTCGTTCATCGCCTGACGAGCCTTGGAGTGTTCAGCTGGGACATGAACCGGTCGAGGTCTGCAGGTGGACTAGTTCCGGCACAGGTGCATAGGGGTGTCCAGTCGGTGGTATGGGCAGCATCTGCAAGGAGGACGGCGGCAACCTGCAGACATTTACGCAAAATTGCCCTTAGGCCCACATCTCCGCAGGGATAGCTCAACCTCACTGATCCCTCAGCTGGGTGCGGGGCAAGTCGAAGGCTTTAACACCGAATCTCAGAGGACAGCGTACGATAACGTCAAACATAACTGGTCGCAGAGATCCCCCGACAGCTGTTGCAGATGGGGTGCATCTGAATCACCACGTTGTGGCCCATGTCGTAATGGGCAGATGCCCCAGTTAAAGGACAGGAGATCCAAACATTTGCTTTCGCCTCTGAAGACTGTCGGGTGCAGATCAGTGTGGGTGCCGTCTGCTCAACGACTCGCAGGAACTGCTGTGAACAAACCGTCCTTTCTGCAATGGGGTGCCTCGAGGTTTTTGGCTGCCACGGCGCGCACAGCATCAGAGAAGCTGCTCACGAGATTTTGGACGTCTTCGTGGATCTTGCCACCCGGACCTGCAAACGATGATGTGGTCCACCGTAAAACATTCGGGACGAGCCCAACCGGGAGGAGGCCTTCGGCGAGGCCAGAATAGAAATACACCTCCTGGCATCGCAAAACTACAAGCCGTGGCCCAGCTTGAATTCTGCAGCCTTGCTCATTGCTCGCGCCTCCTCACGTGAAGCACACGCTTCAAACAGCTCTTTGGTGCTTTTATCTGCGACGATTCGGTGCGGTGTGGGTGACCACTGGGTGCGAAGGAATGGGCCCAGCGTCCGTCCAGCCACGTAGTACCTGGGGAACCAAAGAATTGAATATGCGACGCAAACTGGCTATTTATGGGTGCTGAAAGCCTTTCAGAGACACAGTGGTACTGGGTGACAGCCCTGCTGATTCGCTTTCACTGAATGGGACACGCGAAGTTTTTCTTTCCAACAACACAGCTGTGGAGTGTTCGCTGCGCCCGTTCGGGCCACTGGAGTCTTGCCGAAAGGTGGTGTCGGGCATCGGTCGTTGAATATTGGCAACCCACCGCCTTCGAAAGTGCCTTTATCCAAGCACCTCAATTACCTTGTTCTAGGCGCTGCATGCAAAGACTCCACCGTCTACCTGGCCTTGTTCCGTGTCCGTTTCTTCCACGCCAAGCGTCGTGAAGCGGGTCAGCTCAGCATCACGAGCTTTGGCCCACACATCATGCAGCAACGGGGCACTTGTGGCCAAGGACCTTAGCCACTCACAATCAGACGAGCTAGTGGTGCAATTTTTGAGGACGTGGTGCCCATCCTGCGCTTGTGCCTCCAAGCTTTCGGAGGACTCTCTTGGTGCTTGGCTGTGGCGTCCAGCGCAGCAGCGCATGACATGGTAACTGGGAGGCGGGGAACTTGGCCGGCCGTGCGGCTTCCTGAGCTTTGGCCATGTTTTCTAGGGGATGACAGGGGCCTATCTCCTTCTGCGTTTTTGTGACGCCCTCCGCTCTGCTACTGCTCTGAAGGCGTATGCCGGGCTTCCACAGCTTCGGCTAAAGTCACGCCGTCTAGCACACCAGGATGATCCTGCGCAAACGACCGGTCAAAGAGATACAGTCACATCACTGCTCTCCTTCTGGCTGCTGCGCGACCACGAAAAGAAGCCTGCAAGCGTTGTGCTGGCATGCATCCATAAAAAATTCTCTTTTGCAGTGCGCCTTAAAAGCCATCGAGTCAGCACACGATTCCCTGGACAGTGAGAATACCCTGCTGCTCCCCCGGAGTGCCTACAAAGGCCGCCAGGAGCAAGGTAGCCACCGCAGGCCAGAACATGGCTCAACTCAGACAACAGTCTTAGTTCGAAGGGGCATCCGGGCTGTTCCCGAAATGCGGCCCACACTCCGTTCTCGTTGTGTGAGAACTATCTGTAGGTTGATCCACATTGCTTTCAATCCTGTCCTTATGCGATTCCTGTGACCATGTGTCTCGTCTACTACTACGGAACCTGAGCGGGGTGTCCGCATGCCTGAGCGAACGACTTCTGCAACCCCTTCCGAGCTACAGGCCACCATGGCTGCATCGTCGTCGGCACAGTACGACGGTGCGCAAAAGCCTCGGCGCAGAGAGTCCCGGAGTCCCTGCGCTGGTTAGGGTGACTGGCAGTGCAAGAATCCATGAGATTGAGACACCAGTGCGTGGTCATCTGCGACCCTCCCGCATCCGGATGCCCGCCGTTGTAGATCATGACGGTGGCCTAGGGCAAAGTCCGTCAAAAATCAGAAAGAGGCCCGATGGCAGCACACTGCGCCTCGAACATGCGGGCCTTGGAGTGGCCCAAGGCACCCTGGCAGCTTGCAACCGAGCAGAGTTTGAGGCCACGAGGCCAAAGAATCCGGCTTGGAGCCCGGCGCACTCATCAGCTACTAGTTCCAACTCAGTGTTCGGACACAGATGTCTTCGTGTGTATCCTGTTGCAATTCTTTTTGACTTCATCCGCCTGTTGAGGCGCATGCATCGTGGTTCCAAAGTCCGAGAACGGTCAAAGGTGCGAAGTTCTGCGTAGCAGGCATAATGCAGGGCTGGGACATGCTGGGACTTCCGCATCCCATGGATGTTCACATCGTCGCTCCTCGATCTCAGTATCGAACTCCTCCAAGCATCTGGAAGGGGCACATGCGGCCTGTCAGGGAATGTGTCGAGACTCTTCTGGGGTCTCTGCCTTTACTCAGACGATCCCCAGCTCGGCACACTCCAACGCTTGCACGGCACCGACAGCCAGATCTTCTCCAACACAAGCAGTTGACACACTCCAATGCCACGTCCGGTCACGCGGTGTTCTACTGAGGGTCGGCTTCGTCTCCCGGCAAATCCGCTGCAGACATAGACTCTGTCAAGTGTGGTTGCAGAAGAGGTTCCGCAAGTCTGGGCAGCAGCTAATGACTATATATTTCACGTGTGATAAAGAGCACGTCGCGTCTGATTTCTGGAGGCTGTCGGTCGTTACTCGATGAAGCCGCACGGGAACATGGCATTCGTGACTTGGCAGGACAAACTGAAGGGCACTCTTTGTCAGGGCCAACCAAGGTGTAACCGCAACCTTATATTGGTCCTGCACTTTCCCCTTGCATGTCGTTACCAAATAAAGCTCGTGACGCGACACGACAGGCCCATCATGTCCCCTCAAGAAGCGGTGCCACTGCCACATATCACAAGCTTCGCGTTGACGAAGGGATCACGCGTTCGCGGCTGAATCTTAGAACACTGGTGACTTGCGGAGATGTCGGTGCAACATACCGTAAAAGAAACTCTTGCCGCTGCGAGCCCCTGTGCAATGGACTCTCTTCAAAGGATGTCTACGAGAGCCTATGTTTCTGCCCTCACATGCTGCGAGAGCTCATCTGGATGTCCTCAGATATCGAGTCATCGGAGTAGACCTGAGCTGCTTCAGAGGCGGCATGTGCGCGTTCTTTCAAGCGACCGACAGCGGCCTCTTCCACATCATCGTAGCCAGGTCTGCCCCCCGGAAGGCTCGACAGGCCAGGCAAGGGCGGAACGGCCTTCGTTGCCTCGCAAGCACAACATGCCCTGCCTCCTGCTTAATAATTCTGGAGCTTCCTCGACAGCTCTCTCTACATTCAACACTGTATCCTGAATGCAGTTGAATCGCTGGCGGTGTGGAGATATTTGTGGCTTCCTCCTTGTCTTGTTTTGTCTCCCGTACAGCTCCTCGCAGCGATTCATGCAAGGCAGGAATCCATCACAAATGACCTGTCAGAGGTTCCGTTAGTGCTCCCTCGGACATTCAAGGCGACGTAGATCGACTATGAGAACAAGATATTGAAGCAGTAGATCACTGCTGTCTGGAATCTGTTTCTTTCAGCAACGCATCCGTTGCTGCAGACTTCTAAGGCGTTCGACGACAGGTCCGCGCCTGTTTTGCCGAGAAAACCGTGGTCCGCGGTTGGCTTCAGGGCCAAATGCCAGGGTCCGCGCAGCTCCGCGCCAGATTTGCCAACACAAACCGTGCTCCGCGCAAGGTAACCCACAGTTGCTGTCAATCAGCTTAACAGTTGGGGGTCCGTTGGTTTGCTGACAAGCTGAATCAGAGCGCTCACAGTTGTTCAGTTGGAGTATAGGCAGCGACCGAACTGCGCCTTTAGCCACAGCCACGGTGCAACGGCCGGGAAAACAATCGCAAACCACAGTGGGTCGTGCCGTGCCGTCCTGGCCCGCTTCGAATCGGACGGACCTCGTCGATGGAGTCATCGCTGGGAGAATCCTTGCGGAGGTCACGGAGTCTTCGACTACAGGGAACAAGCTGGGATCCGGGTTCTACAAAGCTCCAAACCCTTAAACTTACACTCCATCATGAGAGACAGGAGTCGGAGTCGTCGAGACGCCTCTCCGCCTCGAACCGAGCCTTTGCTTTGGCGAGATCTGCTCGCGTGGGTTGCCGGTCGGAGTCCTTCGCGGCTGTCGTGATCAAAGGCCGACTCGAGTCGTGATCATCACCATGGAGACGTGGAGGAGCACGAAGATGAGTCTGATGACGTGGGAAGATGAGTTCAATTAGGATGACCACGGTGATGGTGGTGACAGGAAGAACGAGGAGCAAAACGGTGATGAAGGTGACGATGATGATGGCAGCTGGGGTGGTAGCGATGATGATGAGCACAGTTTAGATAGCTCCCGCATGCTTAAGCCCCGAGGCGCAACCTCCACATATGTCACAAGCGGTGATGGCGATCTTGAGACTGACATTGTGGTGAATGTGATGCTCAATATTGCTCTACTCTTTAAGCGGCATGACAAGTTCCACTTTCCACTACTGCTACAATGGTAGTCTCACGAAGACGAGTGCTTGCTGTCACGGCTGCCGGTGCACCTCTCCGGGCGAGGTATTCGGTGGAAATGGCCTAGCTACAACTACTATTCGTACAGTTATCATGATCGCCGCAGATGCTAAGTTACAGTCATGGATACCCAGTTTCACTACTGCCCGGTCCCCATACTCATAATAATGTTCTGATGACCAATGTACTGGCTGTTAAGTCTCGCCATGCCACAGATGCCTCAATCGAAATTCAACTATCTAGCCGTGACAGGACCTATCGCCTTGGTGCAACATGGAAGGCCACATCGGCACTAGCACTGCATCCTGTCCTCGTCACTACTTCCCAGGGTGACATCTTCCGCTCGCCGTCGCACCGGCATCATAGCAGCATCGTCCTCGCTGTCGCTATCTGGACCCGGCCTCGCCAGCTTCGTTGTTCACGGACCACACACGATAAGTGGACATTCGGCCGCCGGTTTTGCCACATGTTGTTGCTCTATGCATCGAAGGCGCATCCAGAAAACTTCTCCTGCTGGGTGTTTCATGAGAATGCTCTTGGCATCTGCTCCTCTCTGTTCCTCACGCTCCTGCACAGTCGATCTCGTCTGCAGCTCAAAAGGTCAGGAGGTCCACAAAAGCACCCTCCTGCTGCAGCATGGCATCTTGCCGCTTTGCAACCTTGGGCTTTGAAGAAAGAGCACAGCGAAAACTTTCTTCGAGATTCCTCAGCTTCGGACGGAGGCCCAGCGCTGTGCCTCGGCTCGGGCGACCGCCAGCACGTCAGCCAATTCCTCCTGATTCCACGGTGTTTTGAGATGCCGCTTGGCATAAGGGGAGGATTTCAGAGCCATCGTTCTGGTCGCAAGCGCGAGCCGACTGCAGAAAGTCTCAATTGAGACCAGGCAAGCGGAGAAATGGCCTCTTTCTCCTTCAACTCCTCGAATTCCCTTCTGTACTTCTCGGGAAGCTTCGCTGAATTTTGCTGTAGGATGCGGGCAACCTCACGACTCGCGTTCAAGAGGCCACTGGGTTTTCACAATAACTGCACATGGCGCCCGGCAGTGTACAAGAGATCTGCAGTTATTCGATCATCGTCACATTCAGACGGACATCTGAGAACTGCGCCCTCAAGTCCGCAGCATTTGCCTCACACTGCAAGTCCCAAACCTGCGAAGGGCTGCGATCGAACCAACAGAGGACTTGCGGAGCATCATCTGCTGCGAATTCCCCGGCCTCTTTGCGACACTGCTTGAGCTTCTGCGTCAGCTGAGTGACCGTGTTGTCCTTGGCCCTCAAGGCCTGGACCAAGAACGTGACTTCTTGACCCAAGCAAGAACAACAAGAACTGCAGGTTCCATCATCTCCCAACATCTGGCGCTCCGCTGCCTTTGAAGCCTCAAGGACCTTGACACGGACCGAGGCCAGCATTCCGCCCTCCTTCCACCAGGAAGCGAAGCCGGGAACATACGAATAAAGTGTTGCCCAGCCCTTCGCTGTCCTCCGTGAGCACTAGCCTGCGCCTGAGCGGCTCGGGCTTCTTTTCCTCCACCGGCTCCGGGCCCAGCTTCGCTGCCAGCTCCTCGGGGTCTTCCTCAGCATGGCTATCGCTCCGTGATTTGCACGGAGGCCGAGGAACGCCCCCGCCAAGCTTGGCCAAGCCAAGTCTCAGCGCTCAGAGCTGCAACAGGTGCAGAAGCAGCTGCCGGAGCCGGCACCAGCTCTCCTCTGACTCCGAAGCTCGGAACTCTAACTTTAAAGGCACTTCAGAGGCGCTCAAACTGCGCCTCGCTGGGCCAAGATCTTCTCCAAGAGAGCCTGGAACTTGGCATCCATCTCATTGATGTCCTGCTCGCCTCCCGCCCGTCCCCACTGTTACTGTAACACCGAAGCATCCTGAGGCTCCGTCCTGACTTTGGCACTAAGCCACGGCAAAGCTCACGAAGGGCCAGACTCGCTTGCTCTCGCGAGCCTGAAGCATAAGCCTAACTTGCTCACCGTTTCCCTGCACAAGGAGAGAGAAGCCTGCGGCGTCAGTGCTGGACTTGGTGCTTCCGGACTTGCTCAGCGTCATGAGTTTTCGCAGGGCCTGGGTCTGCACTTCACTGCAAACTCTGCGCTTACCGTCGCAAGGACCATGAGTGCGGTCAAGCGGCGGTACTCGCCATCTTTGCTTTATCCTCCCTCGCAGATGCCATGGTGCGAGGATGCGGGGCGAAGGAGGCTTGCAGGCTGAGCATGACGGCCTGGGGTTGGGTTGATTCTGCAGCTCATACGCTCCAACTTGCAGTGCCATTTTAGTGAAGCGCTGACCTGCTCAGCTGTGGCTTGGAGGCTTGATCAGCAAGACAAAATCCTATGCTTTCTCCCTCCTGCTGTACTGCTGCAGCTCCTGCAGACAAGGCTTGAGCAGGCGTGGTAGTCCAGCCGAAGCAGGGGTCCAGAAATCTTGAGCCGACTGAACGGTGCCGAGGTAACGGTGCCGGTCACGATGTGTTGATCTCTTTGTTACGGTGCGAGACGGTGTGAGGCTGTGAGGCTTTGCTTGAAGTTCGCTTCAGGCAGCCGCGTGCCTCAACACAAAGAGCTCGTCCGGGACGGCTTCGAGTCTCAACGAAGCCTGAGCAAAGCTTTGGGACAACGTTTGAGAAGTGACCGGTATGTACGTCTGGCATTCTGCCGCCTGGCTGGATCCGTCCGTCCGCCGGTCGGTTGGTCATTCCAATAGCAGATTCGAAGCGGGGCAGTCTGTTTTCTTGAGGACGAGCATGCTTGTTTGGTCGGCACTGGCTATGAACTCCTGGTGCATAACAGTGCATCAACTCTCGCTGCATGCGGCTAGCAAAGCTTCACCGGCGGAGTTCCTGATGCCTTTGGCATCATGCATAGGGTTGCCAGGGACAACCATCAAGGCAGTCATGCGAAGGGACGCAGGAAAATGAGAAAACTGATCTAGGAAACTCATACATCATTGCGTCTTGCTGACACCACAAGTCCACAGGAAGCAACTTGCAGGAAGTGTCGCGACAGAACGCGAAGCCAGAATTGGAAGCAACGAGAGCATGGGGATCCAATGCGTAGGACTTGAAGTTGGAACAGCACAGCGACTCATATGCGACGACATTCCTGCAACTAGGCCTTGCCACCAGCATGAGCATGTAGCGAATCCCTCTAACTGCAAAGTGCTATGAGGTGGGGAAGTGCCTTGCGGACTTGCAGTGCTTCCGTGCTCAGATGGCACTGCTCTGTTCTGTGATGTTTAGGGTGTCTCCGTCGCTATGCCCGTGGCATGATTCGCTGAGTTTTAAGCCGAACCCACCTAGGAGCAAGCCACACAAACTAGCCAAAGGTATTTCAAGGGTGGTCAGCTAAGTGGGCCGACCACATTAGCGGTTGATGTCGCTGCGAAGAAGAGGAAAAGGCCACCGCCTATATACGTCAGCGTCTTCTCCTGAGCTTGGCAAGTGGGTCTAGCGTCCAATCGCTGTGGCTGCTTATAGACGCTGGGTGCTGCCAGTAGAACATTGAAAGTAATGGCCTGCAATCTTGCAAGGGTGAAGAGTCACGACATCAGCCAAGAATCGGAGACATAGGTGCTGATCAGGTCGCCAAGTGCGACGGCAAGCAAGGTGGCGATGGCATGAGCGGCGATAGCACCAACAAACACGGCAGCAGCCCCTTCGGGACCACCCTGGGCGCTCAAGGCTGCAGCCGAGATGAAGGAGCGGTCGCCTACCTCCGCAGCAAAGACCAGGATAAAGGCCTGACTCAATCGTTCTACGGACAGAAGCAATCCGCCAAGGGCAAAGATGCCAAATGCCAACAGCCTTGCCTGGACGACTAGGGCAGGAATCGCCAGCTTCGTCACCCACTCTGGGAGTGAGCTGTTGACGGCCTCTTCTGCCTCTTCCTTCTCTTCTGCGAGGATGCTGCCATCATCGGCCATAGTGGATGCATCCAGAAGTAGCTTCACGCCGAAGTAGCCGAACCTCAGGCGTGACATAGCTTGACTAGGGTGCACAGGTTGGCATGCTTCTGTGGGGCACCACCCTGTGGATGAGAAGTGGAATAGTCGGGCACAAGTTGCGGTCAAGGATCGCAAGAATTGAAGCATAGTCATCTAGGGGTAAACCGCCGGCAGCATCGGGTACTGCGTGGAACACTTGGCCGATGCTCACCGCAATCACAGTCATCACGGCCAGAGCACTGATGGCCCCAATGAAAGTCAAAACCTAGCACGATGGCAAGCAAGGCGACAGAACGAACGACGACGACCGATTAGGGAGCAGTCAACTCTCGCTGAACGATTGTATTCGAAACAGTCATGGTGTGGAACGATTCAACCCACATTCCCCGAACTATGACTGGTGCGGCGCCTTCTGACTCAAACCCTCAGCGGCACTGCTGCCGGCTGCCAAAATCGCGGCAATGAAGAACGTCTTGTCCCCAATCTCAGAAACAAAGGTCAGCGCGAATGCCTGCAACGCTCAAGTTCGACGCACCTGCTGCCTTTTGTCTTGTTCTCATAATGACACTGCAAAGAGTCGCCGTTACGATGAGCAATCAAAGTAGCTTAGCTGTCCGAAGCTCAATTGAAGTACTCATTCTCCTGAGCACGGATGCAGCAGGTATGGGGGGGCACAAGACCACATAAATACGCGGAAGGAGCGTTCTAGTTACCGTGGCGCTTCTTCAAAGTATCGTCCTCACAAGTAGGAACGCGGTGATGATGTGCCATCCGAAGTCCCCGAGACAAGTTCTCGCCTGCACAATTGCATCCGAAGGATCGATGGTCGCCTCCACCACCTCGGAGCTGATCTCAATAAGTGTAGTAGAGTTTGGAGGCCAAAGAATTGGGTGGCCTCGTAAAAAACTTTCTTGATGGCACCCAAAACTTCACGCAGCGGCTGGTAGCAGTATGAAACCATACTGCAAGAAACCGAGAGGTGTAGGCACTTCGAGCGTTTTGAAGGCAACAAATTCGCACGGGACTCTGGCGGGAGGACGACACCCCGAAACATTCGTGAAACCCGTTTCGAACAGAAAATCTCACTACACAAACCATGTCTCTGCCTTTGATTTAACGGACTCCTTTGAGGGTTCAAGGCTGCAGCAAGCTCACCTTTTCAATCTTTTCATATGTATCTTGAATTGAAACCCCGATCCCGAATGAGCTCCACCTCCGCCGCATGCGCAGCGGCTGGGGCCAGTGCCACTGAGAGTGCCTGTGCGCCGGGCTGCTCAGAGTTTACACAATGGCAACTTTGCTGTTCAGGAACTGCATTAGGTTTCAGCGGAACCAACCTGATCCATAGAGTTCCAACTCCCTGAGGAGTGGGGCACAAGAAACATCGTCTACCGGAGTAGAGAGTAGTGAGTTAGTTAGTGTTTCTACGGCCTGACAGAAATAAATCCGGGTGGAGCCCAGGCGCTCCCAGCGGCGCGGCTGCCCGAAGAGCGTTGCTCGACTCGGCGCTTGACGGTCCCAGCGATGGTGGTGGGAGGAAGACGCCGCCTCTTTTTCGTGGCGATTCATGTGGCGGAATCTGGGCATGTCATGGCATGTCGATACCTGCCTCTGCCCAGCAAGCACCAGCAAGCCGCAATCCAAAGCACCAAAACTCGTCGCCGATGCTGCTGAAGGGTCCTGGAAATGCATTGACCGTCTGTGCCCAAAGTACGGAACGCAAACCGCAAGGAAGGGAGGACTGCATGACGACATTCCCCTCGCGAGCGGCCGTGCCATCAACTGTGGCCAACGCTCTGGGGGGTCACATGGCATCCACCGCCACCCGAACGTCAACTTCCGTCCCACTACCCACATGTCACGGGCGCCCCGAGAAAACTAACCCTTTTCCACTGCAACGACTTGCATCAAACTATCCTTGCAAGTTGTATGTCTGTTGAAGCCTTTCAAACAGTCACAAGTCGCAAGTGAGGGTGCGTGAATAACCCCCATCCAATTACATGACCCTTAACGTGGTTATCGTTTTATTTTACTCTTATCGTTTTACAGGACTTGGGGTCTGTGTGATCTACTTCATGCGCCATTTGCCACTCTTATCGTTTTACAGGCAATTGGACTGCGTATTCTAAAAATCTCGGTTATCTTTCTCTTTTTACTCTTATCGTTTTACAAGGAATAGGCAATGTTCTTGACTTAAAGACGCTTTCATCTAAACCCCGATAGCGATGTTTTTTATCATCCCTCAAGTGTGCCTGGAGCACTGCCGGAGCATCCAGGCCATGGCTTGTTACGCTTCTGAGGCAGCGTAACGCACAGGGGCTACAACAGCCAGATATGCGGAGCAGGCACAAGAAGAGCCAGGCCAAAACTTATAAGGCCCAGGGACGGATTGCCCGGGCACGAAAGTGCAGCCCAGGAAAGTGAGCATGCTAGGCACCAGGCTGCCACCTGTTCTCTCGCATGCTTCGCCAGCATCCTCCAACCTCACGTCAAATCAGCGGCAGCTCTTAAAGGGCTCGAACAGGTCATAACAGGTCCATTCCACAAAAAGCTTGGCACCGGGCTGGGCTCGGCCTGCCTCGCCTGGAGGGAAGATCAGGACGACGCGACCATGGATGGTCCAGCCCTGCACGGCAGCTTCCGAGACAGAGAGGGCCCCCCGCTGGGATGATGACGGCTGTACCCTGAGACACCTTAAGCTTGCAAGCCTTGTCCAGGAGCAAGTCGCAAGGAACAGGGGCCACTTGCCTCACAGGTGAGTCGATCGGGGCTAAGGTTGGATATATTTTGTCGCGTTCGACCTCAATCGACCATGTGGCACGGCGCAGTGGCATTTTTCAAGCTGATGACATCCGCCGTAGCGCATCTGAGCGCCCGGCACCTCCACCTCGCAAAGCGCAAACTCAAGAGCAGGGCCAGCGATGCTGCGGATAATGACCTCAGCCCCACTGCGAGACTGAGGCAGAAAGTCTTCCACCACCTCAAAGCCCGGAAACCAGATCAGTGCGAGCTTGATACTGATACTGCAATCTGTCCCTCATGGTAGAGGGTGGGGAGCTCTAGGTTGCGTAGTCCATGGGAGTCAATGTCTTGATGACTTCATGGGGCTAGGTCTTGGACTGTGTGCGGGACATGCTTGCACCTGGCAGTTTCGTGGACTATAAGCATATCAGATAAGAAGTATTGCATATGTAGGATTTCGTGAATACCATATGCTGCACATACAACTATCATAGCAATAAGAAGAAGAACGTCTTACTGATAGCTGATAAGAAAAACGTACTCGTAGTAGCAGCAATAATTAGTTGTAACAAATACAGCAACAGATATAGCAGTGGTATTAACAACCAAAATAGTAGAAAGAAGAGTGGTAGTAATCCGTTGCCGGCATCGCCGGCGTCGGCGAGCGTCTGAGTGTAACTAGCCACTTTCACTGACGCCGGAGGCTTTCTTCTGCCCCTCTCCGCCACTGACAGGCTGACAGGGTAATACTGTATAGTCGAGACACGTAATAAGGAAAAGCTTCTGAGTATACTATTTTGGGGGTTCCTTACTATAAACATAGTATAATGGGCCCCGTTCTAACTATCAAGGCCCCTCTATTGGAACTTCTGAGTGACCAGCAGCGGAGGCCGGGCTTCGGGAGGTGTCCTGAGCACCTCGACTCACGTCAACTTGGAGGTTCAATAGTTATAAGTAGGGTTATATTCAGGGTAGCTATACTTATGACCCATATTTGGGGGCTTATAACCCCACTTATAACTACCCATGAACCTCCAAGAAGGGATACACATTTAATACAAATCCTACTCAGCTGGGCTGGGTTTCGTCCACGGCACAGTGGACAGCCATGGCATTTCCACCTAGGATCTCCATGCGACCGACTCTCCGACAAGGGCCCCTGCTGCCGTTTCCCTGCCAGACGGGCACCACACCCAAGTTCTCATCTGCAGATCCACACCAAACCTCCTCCTCTCCAACCTCAATGAGGCGATACAAGCAAAGCAATGCAAAGTTAGACTCCACCTCGGCCCCGCTCCATGAGAATCACCTCGTAGACTAGCGGCTCCCGGAATGGAAGTGTCTGCAGCTGGCCTCCGTGGGATTCTGCTTCCGGCGATCGGGCTTCACGGAACGAGTAACAAAGATGTCGCAAGCAGAATCCAAACCGACTGCACCTGTCCACAGCATCACGCGGGTCACCTGGGCACGTCTGCTACGAGGTCAGCTGGTTCTCCGGCTCTGGCTGGGCTTACGGCTTACCACAGCGTGGCCCTGGCCACCTAGACCTAGCCGTTAAGGTGTCGGCAATGTACTCTGCGTCAAGCTCCAACCGCCATGGCTGCCTCCCGGCCATGCGTGCTCGGCTCGTTTCCCGCACTGAAATAACGCATGTCCCGAAGGCACCCACGTGAGCATCGCTCCCGACGGTAGTCTCCATCCTTGCAAACGGGAATCCTACGCCTAAACTCCTCTAGACAGATTCAGATGCAGCATCTAGCTGCGAGTTAGAAACTAGTGTCCACAAATCTTCGCAAATGACCGCACATGTGCTATGTCCAGCTGACATCTGGGCTGCCGCACAACTGCCAAGAGATCATCTACACTTTGGTGGGAGTTGCTCCACCTTCGCCAGGGCCTGCCCAAGTATGTCACAGCATCGCTGTGACTGTGATGAAACCTCTCGACTGTACAGTGGGCCCTCTGGCTATCCGTTCGTGCGGAGGTAACAGCAAACAAAAGCCTTTCAGGTCTTTTCAGCGTTCAAATCTTCAGTCGCATCCTTGGCCGTGATCCAACTTGAAAGGAGACTGCAGGTGTGTCCAATAGATGGTTGTGTTTCTCGATTTCCTGAAGACGAGTTTAACGGTTTCGCAGAATTTCCGTGGATCATTCCCGCTCTGCTGTTGTCCAGCCTGAGGCAACTACAAACTTGGACTTCCCAAGCATTCACCCAAGGCCCAAACCTCTAAAAGCGTCTCCAGCCTGCGAGAGACAGGCACGGGCTTTTGTGTCTGGTTAAGAGAATAGCCCGCTGAAGTCCCACTGATGAGTTTCATTCGAGGTTCAGCGATGTGAAGGGCTGAAGCTGGACCTGTCCACAAACAACTACCAGCCGTCGGCAGCTAGTTTATGCATATCACCGGTCCCCGAAAAGAGTCCTTTCATTGGGCCATTACGGAGCTTTTGTGCGGTATGTCATCCGTCCTTGAACACCCGAACTCTGCAACAGAATCCATGAAGGTGGCCTCGCAGGCTTGCAGCCACGCTGACCTGAAGCGACCTCGTTTGCAAAGCAAGCCAGTTGCACCAGGCGGGCGCATGGAGAGCTCTTGTTGGTTTCAGCTTGTTTGTGCGGCATTGCGTCCAAAGAGCCCGCATGTGGCTGCCATTGGCTGTCAGTCCTCATTCTTTGCCCTTCCTCTTGCACGTTGCGCAGCCCTGAACGAAGCAGGGCGCTGATCGACCGGGAACACCAGAGCTGTTCAAAAAGAAGCTGTTCAAAAAGAAGCCCTGACTGTCAACGCCTCCCAATTCGACCACGAGACGTACTGTGACCCTAGCTTTGACGGAATGTACACTGATTGCACGCCACGTCAGGTCAGAACAGCACGGCCTGCTGCTGGCAGAGCTGCCCAGCTTTAGCCAAAGACCCTATATCCGATGGCCCACCCTCTTTGCTTTGCTAGGGGCTTGAGGCGGGAGCAGTCCTCCCTACCCTTTTCTTTCTTTCGCCAGGGCTATGGGCAAAGGGTTTGACCCCCCTCCCTACCCTCTCTCTCTCTCTCTTCTTCTTCCCCTCTCTCTCTCTCTCTCTCTCTCTCTCTCTCTCTCTCTCGCTTGAACTTCCCTACCATTTCCTAACCGCACAGAATGCAGACTCAGTCGAAGACATTACCCATTTGGAGCCACTGTTCTCCACTCCCTGGCTTGGTCTTGTGCATCTTCAGGAGGCATCGGGTTTTCCACCACGTGAACACAGCAGCAGGCAGAACCTGGGAAAAAGAGGCTCTGACCTTCTCGACTCTACGGAGATTGACGGAAGTCCAAGCAAGAAGCGCAGCCCGCACTGGCATCTCCCAAATATCCATCTGGGAAATAACTAAAGGCCTTGCACTCCTGCCCATAGCAAAACCGACTCAAAAAGTTTCAAGAATGAGCTCTCGTCCCTCTTCCCTTCGTCCTGTGTCTCGTGACATTGCAAGCGACCTCGGCCCGAGTGCCATGGCTCACGAGGCTCAAGGCCAAGCAGAGGTCTGAGCGGCCAGCAGGCTGCTGCGCTGGGCACTTCTTTAATGAAGCCCAAATCCTTCGATTGGGAAATCCGTATGCGGGAAGCCACGAGTGCAACACAATAGGCTTCCGGCCATCCCCACTCGATCCCGGCCAACCTCTAGGCAGCCACCTCGCAGCGTGGCCCCAGCAACAAGATGAAGAAGCTCTGGCGCAGGCATGCCCGGCCGCAGCTTGGCCTGGATCTGCGCAGTCGCGCAATCCGTAGATGGCACCGGCATGAGGTGACCAAGGTGCCTCTCACAGAAACATGTGCAGCAAGAAGAAGCGCCAGGGATTGCAAAACGCAAGCTGCGCTGCGACAAGTGTTGACCGTCCGTGGAAACGAGCTTCCAAGCTCCCAGCATCGCTTGTAGCCCGGAGGACGCAGACCTGCAGCTCCAAAGATTGCACTTCAGAACCAAGAGTACTTGGAGGATCATGGGACTTAGTCAGGTTATAAGTAGCTTAATTGGAGTCATAAGCAGTTTTCTATATTAACCCTTATTTTAACCCTAGTTACCAAGTCCCATGATCCTTTAAGTAGTGACGTGGGCTGTCTGTCCCAGAATCCCAGGAGGACCCGAGCACTGTGCTCGGCGGAGGCCCAAGATGGCTGCGACCGGAAGCCTGGCATAACTAACAGCACATGGGAGTTTCCGAAATTAGGGGACCCTGATATAGGCCTAAATAGTAGGATCCTCATTATAACGACCCCCCAAATAAGGTACCCCTAATTTTCCGAAACCCCCACATCGACGCCCGGAAGGGCACAGATCGCCTGCAGCCCACCGGCTCCCAGTTCTCTGGGAAGTAGGTCCATCCGCCTCACAAACTTACCAGGGAATGGAAGAATGGTAGTAATACTAGTTCAATTATACCCCATTCCTCCATTCCCTACTAACCAAAGATAAGACAATGCGCACACGAAGCCGGGCCGAAACTCGCCAGAAGCACAGCGACTCCAAGGGCTCACGGTGTAGGGTTTAGGGTGGGGAGCAGCAATGGGTGCTCCGAGCAGATGGCACTGCCAGAGGACCGGGCAACAATTTCTTTGACTTGTTCCACGACACTCCGAACCGCATTCGCGCTGCGCTCCGGGCAGCTTGGCTGGAACTTTTGCCTGAACGTGTCCAGCATCGCAATGGTCTCGGCCAGCGCTGGGATGCCCCGTCCCGACCATCGTGGATGCCATCTTGCGTCCGCTCCCGAAGACAGCGCAACGTCATGTGGCCAATGTTCTCGTGGGAGGCTTCCAATCCAATGGAGCACGAGCCAAGTGGGATCCCTTGCAGTGCCCTGCGTGCGAATTGTGTGGCATGCTTGACAGTAAGACCCACCGGATACTTGAATGCCCTGCCACCGAACCACTTCGCCTGCTCTTTCAACCTCTCCTTCAGTGGATCGAGGAATTTGCCCCTCATTGGGCACATGCGCCTTTCCCTACAGCGCATCCGCAAGAAACCTTCCTGCGGTTGCTGTGGCGGAGTCGTACCTTGACCGCCCCACAGGATTTTTTTGCCACCCGCCCAGCTGAAACAAGTCGCACCGCAGGGAACTCGTCAGAACTCAAAGACTAGAGAGAGACTCCAGGGACTATGCGCATGCTGCTCCGAAAAGCTCAACAGCAAGTACCAACCATAGACAAGAGAGCATACGCATAGACGCCGAGCCCCGGAGACCTAGCACTTCTCAGGATAACCAGCCGTCGAAGCCCCAACAACCCCAGAGTAACCGGTACGGCCAGTAGCATCCTGACAAGGGCCTGCTTTGTACAACCTACTCCGTTCTTCGGGGCAGGGACGTATGTATGACGGGGGCCGTTACAGCTGCAGGATTTGTCCAGCTTGTTTGTGCAAACGGGACCGAAGCATTTACATTTCTTCACCGATGGTTCCTGTGCATGGCCCAACAAGCCAGCAGCGCGGCACGCTGCCTGGGCTGTCCTACTGTACACTGGCCCGCTGCCGGTCCCCAGCTTTGAGCAGTTGCAAGCCTGGCGCCAGGCTGATCACCTGCCGCCTGGCTGGCACCTTGTTGCGCAGGGACTGGTGCCTAGGTCCCAGGATATCAACCGAGCGGAAATTTGTGCCATTGTGCAAGCTCTGTCTTGTGCGGCGGCACATCGGCCTTTGCCCGCCACAATTTGGACAGACTCCCAGAATGCTCTGAATATCTTCCAAGCGCCAGAAAGGCGTGCTGGCCCCAGTTTTTGTGCCGACATCCTGCCGCACAATGTTGAGGATCTGCTTCACACGGATGTTCAACTCCGCAAGGTGAAGGCTCACCAAAGTCTTGATACGGCAGCTCTTTTTGAGTCCTCCATGGACCTTTTCTGCGCTGTGGGAAATGACTTTGCCGACACGGCGGCTAAGCAGGCACGGAAGCAAGATTTGCAGCTGGCACAGGACTGCTGCCAACAGGTGGCCCTTTGGCATGATGAACAGCATGAGCATCTGCAAATGTACGTTGCCTACTTGCTGGAATTGGCTAAAATAGTGACGCCACTGAAACGCCCCACCAGGGCACTGGAAGCAATCTCGCCGGCAGATGCGGAGGCCCACTGGCTTACAAACTGGTTGGCACTACAGGTGGATCCCACCACGGTCGGGTACCAGGTCGGCCTTCCACGGGCCTTCGCTGCTACCGAGACAGGGTGGCCGCCATGGTTTCTGGACGCGCTGCTGCATGGACAACGGAATTACACTGGCCCTCAGACCCGCCAGTGCTCCACGCACATTCAGGAATTACTTTTCTCGAACTGTTGCTGGACTTCGCAGCTTGTACGGGTCGTCTCCCACCAGAGCGCATCAAGTGTGCACTGGGCAAGCATGTTTGGTGCGACCCATTGTCGGCTGAGGGCATACTACAGCCCGTCATTCTGCGCGAAAGTGTGGTCATGTTGGTCACTGCGGTACAGGTGATCAAGCGAGCTACGAAGTGTGATTTGTGGCCGAGCCAACGCCACCACAAATTGCGTAATCTGGAGGTCTTGGGCAGCCGGCAAACCAGAAAGGGCCTTCTTTTACGACCGGCTCTTACACGGCCGAAATTGACTGGTCAGCTGCTTCGGACAATTCTCTTGAACAATGGAACTGGGGAGGACTTACGCGAGAGTTTGCTGCAAATGACAGCCCATTGATTTTCATTTCACGCGTCAACTGCCAGACCCAAAACGGGAACGGCTCTCTGATCAGGCCAAGACGGCTGCGGACTTACTTCGTTGCTGCCGGACCGATGGGAGATGCAGTGCCGCCACTCGGCTAGCCTGCGCTCTCCCCCTCCAAACCCGTTAAAGGTTTAGGGTTTAGGGCTCATGTCAATGGGGATTTGTCATTCAGGCTTGGGATTTGGGCTCACGAACGACACCCGTTGGTTGCTGCTGATGCAGGATATCATCAACCAGACTGCCAGACCTATGCAAGTCATGTGTGCCCGCTTCGGAAAGGCTGAGGGTTTTGGAAATGCTCGACTAAACCTTTTAGACTTGGAGTAGGTCTGGTGGGTTCCTGTGAGGGACGGTTGAAACACGTTGAAACCTGTGCCATTATGTGCCATTGTGGCATGCGCAACTATCCATCTTGACCATTCGCACAGCAACGAAAGCGACTGCGCAGCATCTTCAATTACGCTAGAGCCTGGTGCAGAAAGTTCTCGCGGGCTTCCGTTCACTAGTACCTCTGACACAACCTGCTCCCCGCCCTCCCGCCACAACCAGAGTCCTCTTGGCAGCGGTTCTGGCACTGGGCTGCACCTGGAATACGGTTTGCAAAGAGATGCTGATGGTGTAACAGCTGCATAGACTGCATAGTGTGCTCTTGCGGGTGGAAATCACAATGGTTCTTCCACCGTGGCCTTGCCCAATCCATCCGTGGAACGAAACAGAGCCTTCGCTCCGCGCCCCTATCATTGTCAATGATCGAGTCACAGCTGCCCTGTGCCGTGCCGTGCGTTTGAAGTTTAAAATCACGGTCCGGAAGGTGTAACCATATTGCCGATGCACTTTCCACAAGCTCACAGTTGACGCCGAGAGTGAAGGGTCGCCCGGGATGGTCACAGTATGTTACATATGTTCCAGGGAAGGTGAATCTTTCCTACTGACACATTTTCCCCGAAAGCTGAAGCTGGACATGTTTCCACGCTTCACTCGGTACTAGTGGTGACGTGTGCTTCTGCAAGGTGTCTCTACATAGACACGAAGTCAAGCCTTTAAAGGAAAGGCGTCGCAAAGGAAACGCATGCTGCACACTGCCGGGATTCGATGATCACTGAATCACAGCACGTCTAGAATCTATAGCTGGTCGCAACTCCGCTTTAAGCGCAAGGCTGTGCAGACGCGGAGGTTCCAGCCTGGCCACCGAAAGCGCTGAGGCTAAGGATGTTCCAAAGGGCGGACAAGTCGAAGCGCGGAGGCAACTCGGCTGCCGGCGAGTAGTACTCGTGTCCCCAAAGATCTTCTCCTCAAGCATATAGCGGATATAGCGGCTATGATACGGTAATGTGGCACAGGCGACGGGTCGCAAGGAGCTGGAGAAGTCCTCGCCAACCACAGCCTGCCCAGAGGCGTGAGGCCGGGCCACAGCACCTGAAAGAAACTCATCGCTTGGAGTCTTCCCCCCCCCTTTGCCGGGACGGGCTGCAATGGACTCGGTACATTTCATTTCGGTCTTCTCGACTGCATCCACTGATCTTGGGCGGCCATTTAGCCCGTGATTCGCCAGACGAGCTGAGCTTCAGTGCATTCGGAGGAACACAGTGTCTACACCTGCTGCAGCTCCAAAACTTGCTACAGTAGAACCTGGAGCAGCTCAACGTTGGAGCCACCAGGAACTCTGTCCAAGCGCACGCTGCCGAAAGAAGCAGCGCTGGCCAAGTCCACTGTTGGAGCTCACAACCACTCCTCCAGTGGCTGCTGCTTGGCTTGGCATTGGCTTTTTAAAGCCTGGCTTTTCCACACCAGATGATTGTGTCATCATGCGTATTCAGTTCTATTCGATACCCTAGCCAGTTGCAGCTCTTTCGAGGACCGGACATCTTTAGGGCAGAAGAATAAATGCACCGACAGCTGTCTTATGCCCAGGTCCGTCGCTCCAATAGAACTCCACCACGAATCACTCGTGGCCGGAAGACGAGGGCTGGCTCTACACTGGCTTCAGCAGTCCCAGCGCCAAACCCAGAATTTCAAACGTATCGCTAAGTGGTATGAACTTTACACAGGGCCATCACCTCGAGGCTCCAAGTAAGTCAGTCTGAAAAGGACAGCATCACAACCTCTTCAAAGAACCGTATCCTTCAGCTATCTTCGTTGATGTCATAATGATGCCGTGATCTCGTGGCCCCGCACAACCCCATGAGTTCTTGAATTTCCCAGTGGCAATCGCAGCCATCAGGAACTGTGCCTTTACAAGCACCTTCCGTACATTGGAACCCTTCCCTATTCAAATCGCTGTGGCCATGAACAAACCAAATGTGGGAAGGTGCTGCTGCAAGCCGTCAGCATTTGCATTCACAGCAATTTGTGACGGCTGAAGACAAAAAGGCATGGTCTAAGCATCTACGCACTATCACTATCTATGCGCTGTCATTCAGAGCGCTAGATTCCGCTAGATGCGTGCCTCGCGAAGCATCACGAAGCACGGCTCGCTTGATTTCTTTCTTCTGCTTGCGGCGGCGGCGTGGTTCATCTGCGCCGCAGAGGTGGCAATGAAGGCAGTGTCGTCCATTCTCACAACTCTGGGGTTTCCAGTACCACGCGCATGGCTTGCAGAGTCCTTGCGAGTGCAGCACCGAGCCTATGGACTCCATAGGGACACGGCCAAGACCAAGAGTTTCTGCTGTTGGGTTCAGCTCCGTCCCGCCAGTCCCCGAAGGTTTAAAGATCGATTCGCCAAGCTTTTCTGAATTTAACACGTCGGGATGTGTCATGCTGTGGTGCTGCCCACCATGACCGCGAGGTCTCAAGCTCCAGGAGAAAGTCGTCTCATGGGCCTCACGGGCTGCAGGGCTCTGCCAAATTCCATCCGGAGCGGAAAGCTGGCAGTGCACGCAGTCGCAGTGAAGGCAACCCGACGACCAAAACCATGCACAGGGCTTTCCAGCGGACTTGCCATGTCCATGACCAGGCACACAAGGACCCAGGAAGTGAGCAGCTCCTGGACCCGGGTCACCTGGAGCCCTGCGAGGGCACGATGATGCTGTCGGGCCCGGGGGAGTTTGTGCCCTGCAACCCCAGGAACCTGCGATTGAAATCTCACTCCGTAATCTTGCTTCCTCGTTGATATCCAGAGATGAACCCCGCGAGATTCCTCTCGTGACATCTAGCATGGACAATGTAAGAGCGTGACGTTCATGGCTCATCGCTGGTTACAGGTCTCTACCATCTCGTGGGAACGCTATAGCCACAAGGCAGACTTGAGCCAGCAGAGTTAGAGGTGCGCGAGATTCTACGGGGAAGCAAGGGCCTCTCCATGTCAGACTGCCCACATGGTCACCAGCCGAGTGTCAGGCATGTTGAAATTCATCCGCCCCGCCTGAAGTTCTGCTATCCCCGTACACGATGGCCCTAATGCCCGGATGGCAGAAATGCAGACAAAAAACGATTGACAGCACGGCCGGAAGAAAAGAAAACAAAAAGAAAACAAACAGCGATGTGACAATACTGTGACTTCAGTCTAGCATAAGCACGGGGAGATTCGAAAACGACTTCGAATCTGCTACACGCCCCTGAGCCTTCAAAACAGGACTTCAAACATGGCATCCTGTCATGCCTCTGCGTGCATGTCCGGTTCTGTCCCAGTGTAGACAAGTCAGTAGGCAGTGTTTCATGCCGGGCTGGTCGCATAGGTTCCGATTTAGATGGAGTGCTTTGTCTGTCGATCATGTAAAGAGCTTTTGACAGCCACGCTGAGAGGTTGTGATCCGAACTTTGCTGGTCAGAACTGCATTCCGCGCCATGACCGGCACACCCACCAGTAATCTTTTCTTCCAGTAGTCTTATAGTCTCTGCAACATTCCGCAACCACAGCTTTCCTGCCGTGGGGCAGAAGATAGCAAGAGGAAGCTACTACTTGGACCAAGAGACTACTACTTACTGCTACTACTACTACTACTACTACTACTACGACTACTACTACTACTACTACTACTACTACTACTACTACTACTACTACTACTACTACTACTACTAGTGCTGCTACTAGTGCTACTACTAGTGCTACTACTACTACTACTACTACTACTACTACTACTACTACTACTACTACTACTACTACTACTACTACTACTACTACTACTACTACTACTACTACTACTACTACTACTGTGTATCTTCGACTTCACTCAGGCGCCAGCCCAGCAGGCGCTGTCTCCCAGAGGTCCTTTGGACAAATCGCAGCCTCCAGGCAGCAGCCAGAGAGCGTTCAGGAGGCTTTCACCAAAAGCAGTCGAAGACAAAGGCTGCTGCACCGCTGGCAAGAATGAAGTTCATCAAAGCATCCCAGTATCACATCCTGCAAGCATTAGGCCCACGTATCTCTGCACCGTGCTTACTAGAGTCTCAAGACATCTCACAACAAACACTGTGCAAGAAAACGCATTGGGCTTCGGAAGTGTCCTCACCCTCGCAGAGCTCCGGCCTCCGCTCCGTTCAAAACACTCTGGGGGTGGCTGAGCTGTTTAATCCCTTGTGCGACGATCTTGGCATGCTGCCGGTGCCACTCTGGTGGACCTGCTTTCTGCAACCTGTTGGACTTCCCTCGCAACCGCCAACGGAAGTCGCCGCACAGACTGAGGCCATGGCAGAGGAGCAAAGTGGCTAAGGCGAGAAAGCGTCCAAAGCGGATCCCAGGCCTTGGTGTGACTTCGCCCTGACCCCTCTCTTTTGCACGCTTGTAAGATTTCAGTGCTGCGAGCATGTGCTATCAGCTGTCTTTTCCTCTGGCCGTATCAAGTATACCTGGGTCCGACAATGGCTCCAGGGTCTGCCTCAGCTTCAGCGCAGATACCTGGGAAACGGGCTCTATGAGAACATCGAAACCACGTCTCTTCTCCGAGCTGCAAGGCTGCAAGCGCATGACTTCTGTCTACACCCGAGGTTTGGCAGCGAAAAAGGCGGCGAGCGGCCCAAGATGAGCGAGCTCACGGGCTCCTGGTGGAAGAGCACACCGCAGAGCGCCCCAGCGCCGCCCAGGGCGAGACACCGCCGCCCGAGCCTCCGACACACGAAGTGGACGCTGTTACAGCTTTGAAGTATACCCGCGCGAACAACTACAGGCCTTTGCATCCGCCTCGGGGGAGATTCCGGGAAGCCCTCTGTGAGCTCGTCCAGCGTCTTTGGCAAACGCCACTGTAGGAGCTGTGCATCCCCATCGCTTGCCTGGTGACGAGTCAGGCTGCCTGAGCCTGCAGGGCCTTCAAGGACCCCCAGAAACTGGAGTTGGCCTGAGTTCCAGTGACTGCCTTTTCTTGAGAACATGGCGCCGCGCCTCCTCCTTGCGACTTTCCAGGTGCTCCGAGGCAAGCACCTGACAAAGTGCTCAAATCCAGTGGAAGCCCAGCTGCTGCTTTTTGTTGCTGAAGCGTCAGTGCTTCGTTGCCTTGACCTGAACCCTGCTGGCCTTCTCACTCCGTAGCAGCGCAGCGAGCAGCGCGGAATCCGTCGACAGGCCCTGCCCCACGTGATTTCGGACAATTCGAGACAGGGACCTCGTCCCTGTCTTGTCGGAATCTGGCAACTAACAAGACTCGCAGGATGTTATGGCCCCTTCCCTCCTCCCAGGCGCTGAAATGAACCCTGCATCGCATCTTAGCTGCTTGGCAAGGTCCTCGGTCGGATTTATATGCAGCGGGCCGCGCCGCCCCACCTCAAGATCGGTTGGTCTTGCGTTGAGCATCGCATGGTGCGTCATCTCTTTGTGGACTCCCTCCGTCAAAGCATTGCGGCAGGCTGGGAGCGAAGCTCTGGACTGGCCACCTGAGCAAAGTTTTTTGCACTGAAGTCAAAAGTTGCCTGAGTCTGAGTGTCTAAAATTAAAAACTGGGTTTACGGCCCTCGGAGGATGGAAGGCTGCACAAGTGGCGAAAGCTTGGCCGGCTGTCTGACACAAAGCCTGAACGCCGCAGCAGCGGCTTGGCTTGTTGCGCCTCCTGGCAGCTGGCAAATGCAGCATTTCCCAAGTGTGAGGAACAGTAGAGACAGAGACTCTCCTCCAAGCGGAGATGGCGAACCAGGAAAGGGCTGCGCAGCAAGACATCGATCCCGTGGAACGCAGCAAGCAGCTCGCCGCTAGCTTTAACGGACTCGTCGGAGACGGAGCACGCAGGCCCTCACGTGCGCTCAGACCGCAACAGTTACGGAACTCCAAGAGACTGGTCCGCCTTCAGGAGGTCCGGCAGCACTTCGTGCTTGCTCCTGGCTCCCAATGAAAAGGGACTTTTCCGGGCTTTCAGTCTGACTCTTGCAGCTCGCATCCTTCCTCTTCCTGCACACCGGGCTTCTTGGGCCAGGGAACGAGAACCAGCACCTCCTGAAACAAAGCCGCTGGCACCTAATTGGGTGCTCCGTCATGTACTAGAACATTACCAAACACGAAGCGCTTTCTTGAAGGGAGGGCCGACACTTGCCGACATGAGCCTCTCCTCCACGAAGCCGGCGGCAGCATCCCTGCATCACGTAAGCTCAAAACTGCTCAAAACTGTCAGGCTGATAGAGTAGAGCAGACAGCTGCGGGCCTCATCTGGCGGGGCACCATCCACAAAGCAACAAGGGGCGGCAGGGCGCCTCTGCAAGTGATTCTGCCATTGCCCTCCTAGGCACTATACAAACTCAGGGTCCCGAGTGGCACCGGTGACACAACGAGCGGCGAACCAACAGGTGCGCAGAAAGCAGCAGCAGCAGCAGCAAGTGAAAAGACACGCTTGGCTTTTGCTTCCGACAAACTACAGACTACTCTCAACGCTGAAAACTTCTGGCAGCTGTGGCAGTAGTCAATAGTCTCCTGCTCGGCTTTTCCGCAATTACCCGGGAACGGTGCCTGCACAAGCCACGGCCGCTGCCAGAGGCATCGACGGCACGGCAGACGCGGCAGCGGCCGCACCGCCGACGCCAAGGAGGCTGCCGAGAAGGCCTCCAGATGTGATTCATGGAAAGCATGGCACCAGTGTGAACAATTCGTTCGTCCTTGCGCTAGGATGTGATGGCAGCATGGTGCCGTTGGCTGTAATCAGAGCGGGAGGTGGCCGCTTGACTTGTCATATCATATTGCCCCTCCGCTTCTTCGATTCTGGATGCTTTTGCATCGACTGGCTCGCATCTCTGAAGATGCGATGTGAAGCTGTTCTTCTGAGTGAGTTCCTCGCGAGACAAAATCTCGCCTTCATCCAACAGGGCATGGATTGCCTGCATCTCCATCTCATCATACCCATCTAACCTAACTGGCTCCTACAGCCAAACATCTCGCGTCTCACATGAAGTACACCGAATCGTCTACTGCCTGACAAGCTGGACCGAGGCCGTCACACTGCCGCCATGTGTTCACAGCCAAAGCTGGCCATTCGCAACGACTGCGAAAGATGCGCACCTGCTCGCATGCGGGTCGCTCGTAGCCGCATCCGGACGGTAGATGACTAGACCGAGCACGCTGCCTCCTTCGTTCCCACGGGACCGGAGGGAGCGTGAGACGTCGGGCTCGCTCCGCGCCATGCAGGCACACTGAACCTCCAACGACCGTTGCTGGCAATGCGTGCCATGTGCAGTGACAATTTTGGCAAGACATGGGCCCTGCTTGCGACACTGTCGCCACAGCTGCAGACGGCAGCGCACCATCAGCGTTCTTTGGCCGTTACAGTTCCAAGTCTAGCAAGCCGTGAGCGACTCACTAATTGCAGTATGCAGGGTCAAAAGGTGAACCCGAGTGGTGCAAGCGGGTCTTCTGCTCGGGCTGTAGATCCAATACCATTGCTGCGGATCAAATTCCACAAGCTGTGTGGGAGCCGACTACTCAGTCAGCTGTGAGGATCTCGTTCCGGGCGGCCGTGCCAACGTTGACATTGAGGCCGCGGCATGTACGCGCATAAACGTTCTCACTACAGAAGTCACCTCACAAGGACTTACTGCTCTTCAGTCTGGGCTTCAGCAGCTGAGCACTCACCACTGGGACAAGCCTGGCGAGGTTACGAGTCCAGGGGGAAGGCTCATTCTGAGCTTAGGGTGCCTTGGTAATTACCTCTACTGTTTTGGGGGTTCCTTATTATGAGTATGGTATAATGGGCCCCGAAACCCTATTAAAATCAATAAGGCCCCCAAATTATCGATCCCTTCTAGTCACCTAATAGGCACCCTTTAAACGGAACCCTAGTCTAATTATATCTAATTATATGTAGGGCCGGATCCCTCATAGTCCGCTTTCGACTCGCACACTCGCTCTCGCAGGCACGGCTCCAGGGTCATAGTCTCCTTTAGGAACCCTAAGGAAGCCTTGGTAGGGAATGGAAGAATGATAATCATAGCAGTTATAATCGTACCCCATTCCTCCATTCCCTACTAACAAAAGGTAAGTGAAGGCCCCCATAGGGCCGGAGAGCTCTGAGTTCCTGGACGCCTCGGCGACGCGACTCGGAGCCCTCGGAGGCAGGGCAGAACCCCGGCCTCGGAGCCCCAGGCTCTCGTAGAAAAGTGCAACAGGCGTCATATATGCTGTAGGAGTTTTACAACATTATACTCTCACTCTCTCTCTCTCTCTCTCTCTCTCTCTCTCTCTCTCTCTCTCTCTCTCTATTATATATATATGTGTATATATATATATATATGCGTGTATATATATATATATAATTAGAAACCCCAAAAATAGTAGAGGGATAGGTAATTTGTGTGCATACGTGGCTGATTCTCGTATTCTAATTCTATAGTGTTCTGGTATATGTTTTGCACCTTCCTCTGAGGGCTGCTCGCAGAGTGCACCGCCTGCGCGTCGTAGCGAACCACGCTGCCGGCAGGGAATCTCTGCGGTTGCCTGGCAGATGCGACAAGACAAGCCGCAGCGCAGCCGAGCGCACATCGAATGCGGCTAGCCAGAGGCACGCATCTGGACCTGTCAGATTCTTCGCACTCATCCCTTCGGAGATGCTGGGGAAATGCTCGAACAAAGTCGCCTTCTGGATAGAAGAGAGTCCTGAACGGAGCGTCGCTCACGACGAAGAGGTCGGAACCAGGCCAGTAGTCATCGTGATGCGGCCTGAGTCAAAGCGGGCAACGAGTGATGGCTGCCAGAGTGCTGCTCCGTGCTGAAATTGCCCGACCCCCTCTTCTTGACAACGATGCTGAGCGAGATGCAAGTTCATGAAGACGTCCTGCCTCATGTCGCACTGCAAGGCCACACAAGCCTGCACGATGCCTCTGGTCGGATCCGCCAAGCAGCTCATCCTCTGGTTCATGCGCGCGGTTGGCATCCTACGAGCAAGTGATTGAGATTTCCATCGCATCCCCACAGGCCAGAGGAGCTGTTAACGGGTTGTGGACAACTATGGACAACTTCCGTGCCAGAAGCTGTTTCTGAGCCCGGTCCTGCCATCTTGGTTGCTGTTTAGTTCGCACTTGCCGTGCCTTGCCAAGTGCGAGGCGTGTCACACCATCTTCTTCCGCACAAGTGGCCCTGCCATTATGGTGACCGTGGCATCCCCGTTGGAACATCTCGTCCAGTCCACCTCAGGAGAAAGACATCAGCTAAGCAACACGTGGAATGGAGCAGGTAACTAGGCACGCCTCAGGCAAGCTCTCCAGGACAATGTCAAACGCTTCCTGAAACCTGCTGCAGCGAGATATCACGGGATCCCACTGCTGTGGTCTGGGGCTGTTGGTGGAATGAAAGGAACAGCTGCATTGAGCCTTCATAGACCTCCTCCAAGCTAACACTTCCTAATGCCACCATGCGCTCTTACCCGGTATCAGAGAACTTGGATGCCGAAAGAGCAGCATTACAAACAAAAATCCTAGCTTCCACCAGAACTCGATAGGATGGTTCTCATTGCTCAGACACTGCTACGGGCCCGCCGCATGCTGAGCTTCGGGCTGCGCCAAGTAGTCCGGAAGCTTTGGGTCAACGAGGTGAAAGTATTCTTGGCCCCGTGCCCGCCTGAAAGCAGTTCTTCAGTGCACAGCTTGGGCCGGAGTTTTTCGACTTCACGATCTGTTTGTTGAACACAGGGAACGACATGTTCACTTCCAACTGGGCTTCTAGCGGCTCTAGCGCCAACGGTGTAGAGAAAAGCCGTCTGTTCAAGAGGAAGCCCACCACCTCGGCCACGGGCGTCTTGCAGATGTGGTGCACCTGCTTTGAACTGCTGGCAATATTGCACCCCGACCTTGACAGAAGACCTCAGATATGCACAGCAAAAGCGGAACACTGGAAAGTCGAAGACAGAGACTACCGTACTACCCTGCATGCCACAGCAGAGCTCAGCCAATTTGCTAGCGGCTAGGGCGAGCCGCTTGGCCCGTGCTAAGGCCTTGGAAGTTCTGGGTAAGCCTAGGACCCTGGAGGGCGTGCACGGTGGCTTTGGCCTCTCGAAGAAACCGACGGCGACATGACCAGCAGGGCAAGGCGCCCCAAGGGTCGTTCCCGTGCCTACGGAGCTCATCTCTGCGCGTTACAGCCATGGGCCGCAGCCGCAGCCTCCCTTGGCAGTCTACATGGCTGAGGAGCTGCCGTCTGCAAAGCTGTCCACTGCGCATTCAGCACGAGTAGTCTGAGTCTAAGGTCTCCGTTGTCCATACCAGACTTCCTTCCTCGTGGATATGTATATATATATATATACATACAGATACGGGTACATGAAGTGCCGCATAGTCGTGCGTGGCCAGCACTTTTCTGCAGTGGAACTGATATCACGGCCGGAGTGTGCACTTCCCGAATGAAGCCGAAACCGTCCAAGCTGCGTCCACGCGAGACTGGACTGGAGGACAAGAGGTGCAGGTTGGCGAGCGCATGCATATGCACACACACGCACACAGACGCACACTAAACAGGCACATGGGCGATGCGGCACTTTTCACAACTGCACATAGGCCAGCTGGTGAAAATCACGCTTTCCAAGAAGCCTCAACTGAAATCAGAATCATGCCTCAGGCATGTGTCTAGAGTGAGGTGACGCATTCATATGTCATTTCCTGGTCCTTGTTGCCCTGTTCGAAACGAACCCAAGCTCCGTCTTTCGATCGTTTTCTTGAAGCGCTTGTGCCTGTGCTGCTTGTAGCAGGCTCTGCATTACGTCGCAGCGCAGCCAAGGCAGCTTTCGCATCTGCGAGCAGTTGGCGGTTGCTCCCAGTGAGACATGCCAAGTCCAAGCTCCGTGCTGGGCCCTGCAATTGAGACACCTGAGACCGACTGAGATTGTTGGCAACGGTCTTACACTTTTGGATTAGCAACACTCCCACATAGCATGCCGGAGAGGCTAGGGTCCATCTACCCCCCCCCCGGCTCACCCTCGCCTCCCTCGTCTCCCACTGAGCCAAGTTAAAGTTGCACTCTTCCTGACCCCGGGCACCCCAGCCGCGCTATCTTGCAGTGAATCGACATCAGCCCGTGCAAGTTGCCCCGACGGAGGGTTGCCCACCCACACCGCCAACCTCGCGCTACCGGCACCCGCACACAGTCTAACAGCAATAGAGACAGACAGAGAGAGAGAGAGAGGGGGAGAAGCAAACAAGCAGACAAACAAGCAATACTGATGTTCACACTTTCCCTAGTCCTAGCCAACACCCTTAAGCCGGCATGCAGCTGGCCATGCCACAACGCATGCTTACACGAGTGGGGGGATTGACGCGAAAACCCAATCTCCACTTCCTTGCTGGTTGCTGGGGCGATGGCAGCCTACCTAATGCGGTTCCCAACTTTTCCGGGACTAGACGGACTTTCGCAGATACTTTTTGAAGCCCAGAAAGTCTGCGGATCCTCGGCCAATGTGAATCTCTCCAAGACGGTACCGGCGATGCAGGAACCCTAAAAGCGCCTCCTCATTACACGTGCGCACGCACCAGCTTGCGGGCACCCCCACACGCACCCACCCATCTCGACACCTGCCAGCCCACATAAATTCAAGCTCACATGCACCAAAGGTGACAAACGGGCCTGGAGTGCCGCAGCAACAGCGCAACACAGTGACACTGATGGTCTGAATCTGTCTGAGACACCCCTCTGAGCAGTTCGTCCATCCCGACACACTCGCTCTTGTCCTGGTCGAGGAGGTCGAAGACGAGATCAGGGTCTTGCATTGGGAGGCCTTGCGCTGCAAACCAATGCCGGGCACCGGCATTTCCCATCACTGCATTCCATTCCGACCTGGTGATGGTGGAACCTGAGCGGTTCGTGTACTGGAAAAAGTCATGCATCTTTTTGCTGTGGATCTTCTCCTTCCTGGCCACATCCCGCATCATGATCACATCGTCTGTCTGTGCCACTCGCATCGTTTCTTGCATGAACACACCATTGATAACTCCTATGCAAGCGAAACCGACCGTCACCTTATGCACGATGGTAAACAAGTTGAATATCGGGCTGACCAGCTCCTGCAGAATGCGAGCGACTGGAACCCACGTGCCCAGTGTCATCTGAAACATTGTCAGCATAGCACGGGGAAAAGTACCGAAGTACTCAAACAACTGCGTCTGCTCGTCGACAGAGAACTCAAAAATTGACGATGTAACCAATGTCATCAAGACCTGGTTGAGCAGAAGCGCAAACAGCAGCTGAACCATTATCATGATAACAGCAACCCAGAGCAAGGCGTTCACGGAGTGAAGCAGAGCCGTTGTCATCACAATCAGAGAGTCGAAGCCTTGTACAAATCGCACAAGTTTCACGAGCCGGATCAATCTCATCAACCGTATCAACCTCAGGAAAGGCGTCTCGATCGGGAGATTTGTGAGGAGCGTGTCAACGAGCCAAAGCATCACTAGTGACGAGTCAAACCAGTTCCACAGGTCGTAGAAGAACTCCTTTCCAAGGCCGCAGAGCTTCAGAACCATCTCCATCAAGAAAAAACACCCGAAGAACATCTCGATGGCTTGAAGAAACGCAGGCACTCCCGGCCATGCCTGCGGGGCACGGACACAACGGAACTGGGCGTGTGCAAGCGCTTTCGAGCCGTGATTCTGTTGCTGCTTCCTGGTAGTACGAAGATTTCCTCCTAAGGGTGCAGCTAGCAGCTAGCCGTTTGATTTCGGCGCAAACCTGGCCGGGAACAGCTCTACCCGGTATCCGAAAAAACCAAAAAAGAAACCAAATGATGCTCCGAAGGGGGGGCGAATCAAACATGAGTACGGAACGATGTATGCCTCCGACGCAGGGACGGAGTAGCCCGTGTACTGGAGCTCATAGCCCCACTGCAGGCCCGTGTACTGCACCTCTATCGCCATGCTCACAGCTTGAAGAAATATAAGGAAGGAGAAGAAAACCTCAAAGCCACAAGACTTCACGAAGCGGTCTGGATGCCAGAAGGGCTTCTGCGGCCCATCATCTAAGGTCAACGAATCTTTCAATGAAGATGGACTTCTTTTGATCGTGGTCGGTCTTTTGACTTCGTTCTTGGCTGTAGATGCACCACTCTGCTCGCTCTGGAAGTGGAAAGTCTCCGAGGGTTCGTGCTCAACTTGTTCAACCATGCTTATTTCTCCAAGCTCGAGTTCTGGCTTCTCCACCTGCAGCCGTGTGTCCGATACCTTTGCCAGCACCTGAAGGTGCTCGACGACGGCTTCATGGCCTCTCTCCAAAGCCTGGAGCTCACGTGCCAAAGCTGATTGCACCCAACTCAAAAGCTCGGGGGTAATGCGCGCGCCAGATTCCATGGCGAGCCTGTTCCCACAACAGTGTACCAAGTTCTACGCAGATTCTCCTTTGGAGCATTTTGGGCCTGTTGCGGCTGACCAAGTGCATCATGCCGGAGAAGCTAGCGCTCGGGGCAGAGATTCGATCGCGCACTAGCAAACCACAAGGCTTTTTCGCGCGCATTTTTCTTATGCATGTTACGCCCGTAGTCTAACTAGCGACATAAAGCCTACAGCTGACATGTACTCGATGAAGGCCTGGGAGCGCTACCTCGATTGCTTGAGCACATTCGTTTTGCTGGCGTCGCATAGTGGCTCGCTGGGGACATGTCTCAGAAGGTCGGGTAAGAGTGCGGCTGCCGGAGATCGCACATGGCTCGATACGCCCCCATGTGACCATCTCATACCATCTCCATGCCAGTGGTAGTAATCCTCTACGACATCACACCATGCCGCGGCACATTCCTGCTGGCTCGTGAAAAATAGCTGTGGGCTCTCACCGCATCTGACTTCTCGCATGTGTAATTCCGCAATCTCAGTCGAACCCGAATTGTAGCCACACAAGATCATGTCAAAGATCTATGTGGCAAGCAAGCAGCGCAGAGTCGACTGGTTTCGAAAGATCCAATGCAGACCCCTTCAGATTTGGCTCGAACCCTTCCTCTCCGCGTCTTCCGAAGATGGCCAACGGCAGCCAATAGAAGTTGCAGACAGATCTTGTTCGGTCGAAGGCTGGCCCAGAAGGCATGGTGCATCGACCCAAACCAGGGTCACGAACTGGAATTGGCATTGTCATGCATTGTCACGCTCTTCTCGACTTATTGCTATCATTTCCGGCCGCCACTGTCTGCCAGACCCTTCACCTTTTCGGAGGTCAGTGCTTTCTGGACACAGCAGCCGGGGCCAAGGAATTTGGGGAGGTCAAGGCTCATCCACAGGGAGTTATTTCCCACGATGCTGCGCCATCGTCGGCAGGGCCAGGATCTCAAAGATTGGCTGCCATGGGTGGGCGACCCGTATGGTACAGCACCGGGCTGCCAGCTCGCGACTAAGAAGACCCAGGCTGAGTGAGCGTCTCACAACATAATTCTTATTGCAACCTACGGGTCTATGTGGGCCGCAATTGCAAACCCTATTCCTACCTTGAGCCACCGGCATGGCAGTAGTGTCGTAAGAGTTTCGGAAATGATCTCTCGTCGCATTTGGATAGGATCAGGCAAGTCAGCATGCAAGCTTACTGTGGGGGGCCCCTGACATCAGACAAGATGAGGCAAGCCTCTTTAGCGTGTTCCTGCGGGGGCCAAACGTAGCCGAACACCTTGAATGAATGCTCGGCTAAGTACGGCGTTGTAGGTGAAACAGGCATGAAGAACCTCTTGAAGGTTCGACAGCTTTCCGAAGTTATCTGGCACCTGCCTACACCTGAAAACCAAAGGCTGTCTGAGACGGCCCTTTGGTGCCTGTAGGACTGGGGAATCCGGAACCGGGGGCCTTCTTGCCGTGATTCCGAATGAGGTCTGTCACGTGTGACAGGAGCTGAGCATTGCGCTCAGTCATCATAAGAAGGTCAAGGCTTCGCGCGGGGCCCTTCAGCTGGTTGACTCCCTTGATAAGCTCGTCCATCGTGATGCTCTGGCTGCCATCCTTGTCAAGTAACCTGAAGACTGCGTTGGCATCTTCCATATTGAGGCCCTGAGCTTCAAACCAGTGCTGAGCATGAGTGCTTTCCATCACGCGCTGCCATTCCTCACGAGTTATGACATAATCCTTGGAGTGGTCAGCATAGCGAAAGAAATCTTTCATTTTGGAAGCATGGATTTTCTCTCGTCTTGCTACATCCCGCATCATGATGACATCATCCGACTGCGCGACTTTGAGCGTTTCTTGCATGAACACGCCGTTGATAACTCCGATGCATGCAAAACCCACGGTGACCTTGTGCAGGAGCGAGAAAATGTTGAAGTATGGACTGACTACCTCCTGCAGTATGCGGGCCACTGGCACCCAAGTCCCAAGTGTGAACTGGAACATGGTCAGCATGGACCTGGGAAAAGTACCGAAGTACTCGAACAGCGTTTTCTCGTCCTCAGCTGAAAGCTCCAAGCCTGATTGGACGAGGCTCATCAACACCTGGTTCAAGAGTAAAGCAAACATCATCTCCACCACAAGCATGATCATGGCGACCCAGAACAAGGCATTCACAGAATCCCTCAAGGCGGTAGTCATGATAATCAAAGAGTCGAACCCCTGGACGGCACGTACCAACTTCACCAGTCGAATGAGCCGGACCAGTCGCAACAGCCGAAGAGTGGGGCTGTCCAGTGGCAACAGAGACAGTCCTGTATCCAAGCACCATAAGCACACCAACACGATGTCAAACCAAGACCAGGCGTCCTTGACGTAGCTGCGCCCCAGAACGGCAGTCTTCAGCACGACCTCTATGGTAAATAGGATGCCGAAAAACACGTCGATCCCTTGAATAAAACTCGGCACAGACTGCCATACCTGGGAAGCTGGAACGTCATACCCTGCGTACTGCAGCTCGAAGCCCCACTGTAGCCCAGTGTACTGCACTTCGATTGCCATGGTGATAGACTGCAGCAAGATCAGGAAGGCAAAGAATAGCTCAAAGGCATAAGAGCGCACCATAGCCGACGGATGCCAAATGGGAAGCCCAGCCCCTTTCGCGACCGAAAGGGAGTCTTTCAAGGAGAGAGGGCTCGGCTGACCGACTCGGCTACTACTCGCCGAAGCCGAGGCCGCCGAGGCCATGCTTGAGAAGGTGCCAAGAGTTCCATGCGTCCCTGCACGTCGAAGATTTCCTATTGCGAAGGACCTCTTCATCTTGAGCCTTGTTTTTACATAGGGCGGAGGTACGTCCTCGGACTCCGCTTCGATGACGCTTTGAGCTGCCAAGGGCTCGACGGGCTCGAGGCTCGCACTCACAGCACTCACATCAACGCTCGCACCGACATCAACGCTCCCATTGGTATCAATGGGAGTGAAAGCCTTCCGCATATCAGCGATCACAGCCTCGTGTCTGATTTCAGCTACAGAGCGTTCTTCTTTGAAGCGCTCTGCTAGCCAGTCAGCCAGCAGCGACGCCAACGTCTCGGGCTCAGGCTCCATGACGGCATACAAACAGCTAGTGAATTACCCCTTCTTAGGGCAGCCTGGGCCAAAGCAAAGTCACAAAATGTCACAAACCACCTGGTTCCCAAATGTTCCCAAAGTGCGACAAAGCAGCCAGTGCAATGGCACAGCATGAGAATTGCAACAATGCATGCAGTGGCGCTGCCTACCTATAAGCTTTGAGATTGCTCATGGGTCGCAAGGCTTAGATTTGCAAAGTGTGACTTTTTTCGGGTGAGCCAAGCATGGGCACAACACCTTGTGCATACTTCTGGTTGTCAAGTATGTGTGCGGCATCGTGCCAAGGTGAGAAGCTACTGTTTAGCAACTATTAAGTTGCCAGAACTAGAGACACCAGTTTGCGGGAAACACAGCACTGCAGAATCTTGAAGTCACCTCTGAAACCTCTTGATAGTCAGCTGAACTCCATCTCTGAAGTGCCGCCCGAAGATCTCCTCGACCTGCAATCAGCGCGAAAGGCACAGCGGCACGGCCATTTGCAGGTGTCGAACAGGGTGCCCGACCGTTTCAGGCGTGCCGCGGAGGGGCATTCCATCGATGTTGATGATTAGATCCTTTGCCTCCAGGCCAGGCTGTCCCGGCTTGGGAAAAACCTGAGATTTGCAACACAAACCTCATACTGAATCGCTTCTGGCTCCGGCTTCGCCTTCGCTTGCCGTCGCCTTGTTACGCTCGGGATTGGGCCTGCTGGACCCCTGCTTTTGGCGACCGGTTCTTCCGTAGAAACGGGGCTGGTGGCGTGGATCCCTGAGGTCATCTCCACGCTCGTGGCAAGGCAAGCAGAGGACTTGGACTCACAAGACAGCCCACAGCAAAATTGGAAAACTCGGCAGGAAAGTGAGGCCTGATCTGCACTGCTGGCAAGTAGCCTTCATCACTTTCATGCCGCCTGCTTCTGGCTCCAACTCCACGCCAGCACCATCTTTTTCCGTAACCTGTGTGCGTTCCATCAGATTGCAATGTCGAAAAGGCTTATGGACCTCAGTGGCCAGACTTTTCTTGAGACGTGGCCTTCAACGTGTGCGTCAGCAAGCGGTGCGACTTCTTCATGCGTTCCTCCGGAAGAGAAGGCAATGTCGACGGAGCACCAGGCGAACCTGTGGGATCGTTACGTTGCTCATGTAGGACCTGATAAGAAACCCTGGCCTATCACCCCCACATAGTAGGATTCATATAAGGAACCCTAACAACGGCCCAAGGTTTCTTAATCAGGTTCCTACATTACCAGCCTTTCGAAGCATTGCCGTTGCCAGAACCCCCAAGGCAGACCGCAAGTTCACAGGCCTTACCGTTGGTTAGTAGGGAATGGAAGAATGGTAGTAATGGTAGTTATAATTGTACCCCATTCTTCCATTCCCTACTAACCAACGGTAAGAGGCTCATCTGAGCATGTGTCAACAAACAGAACCTCACGAACTATCTGGTCACACGCTCGTGACTTTCATGGGTTAGAACTCGTCCATTCCTTAGGTTTTCGCACGATTTCTAGGAAAAGTCGCTGTTGTGTATGAGCCGAAACTATTCCGTTCATATACACATTTCTGCATTTGTTGGCATGCGATGAGTTATTAGACTGCTTGGTCCGTAGGTTGTTCGGATTAGTAGGGAACAGGCTGTGGGCAATACTTAACATGATTATCTTTCTTCCGGGCCAGGTTTATTTAGCAGCAGCAATTAGTAAGGAATGCGAATGTGCTGTAGGCAATACTTAACAGGATTATGTTACATCCTACTAGTAGGGAACGGGCAGTACGCAGTACTTAACATGGTCTTGTGGCAGCGTTTGGACACCCCGCTCCGTGCAGCGAGAGATTCGTGGACGTCGCGAAAGCCCGCCATGCAAACAGATGCGTGGCCGAGAGTCTTTGCGTCAGAGTGTCGCAGAAAACAGTTCTGAGGGGATACAAGCCCATGCAGAGACGATATTGCGCCCCCACCCTCGCCCCCCCAATCATCGCGGAACCTCAACTTTACAAAGGGGGTCGCCAAGGTCTCTTCAAACGAGGACGCTGGATGCAAAATGATACGACATGCCACACATCATCATGGACATGGACGCGGCACAAAGCGGTGGCCTCCGCTGACGTGCTGACCTGTTTGAGGTTTGGGAACTAGTTCAGCCAGTTCAGCATCAGATTTCAAGCTTTGAACTCTTCAGACATCTGCCGGGTGTGCTTAAATCCGCAGCTTGATAAGCACAGCAGCACGCATGAGGGAAAGCAGAGGGTTAATGATGCACTGGCCGCCTGCCTGGAAAATTGAAATTGATGAGGTCCTGCAGTTCTCTGCGAGCCTTCCGGCGCTCATCCTGGCACGCAGAAGCAACAGCGATGGACACGCAGCTCAGCTGGTGGATGCAAACGCAGCAACCAGAAGGACCCATACTCAGTTGAGTAGAAGGATATTTGCACGGCCAACAGTTGTTCGTGGTAGCTTCTAGCCTGGACATGCTTAAACAAGCAAGTCTCCTCCGTCACACCCAGTTGCATGTTGGCCATGACGTAGGTTGCTTCAACGCTGTCCTGCTTCCTCTTCCTGGCAAGTCTCAAATCGGCACCTCCCGCCTTGGACGCCTTTGCGCTGCGCTACTTTCTGGTGCACCGGTGCTCTGTGTCTACTTCTGTGGGCTGGCTGAGGGTCTGGATCGTGGCGCCACAACGCCATTTGTAGATCCAGTGCTGGAGATCACGGCGAAGACCATCGATTTGCTCCTTTCGCTACGAACTGAAGATTCAGCACAAGCCCCGCACTGAGAATAAGGTGCCCTGTCCTTGGAAGGGTCGCCCGGGAGTTGGAACGGCTCTTCCCTCTCTTCTGGAGGTGCTTGCCTGTCTCCAAGAACACGCTTGGAGGTTGGAATTTGTAGCTTGGAGGTTGGAATTTGTAACTTGTAGTTCATGAGATGGTGTATCTGCGGGGCTGCCGGTGAATGAGATTGCGGGAATAACCGAACATAACCCGATCTCCGTGAAAAGAATCTCCGCTTCCAGGCAGGCCGCCGGACTTCATTCAGCACCTTGGAGAGGCTGCCGGCACTGGTGGAAACCCAGGGGTGCGCAAGGCAGCGGTCCAGGTCCAGCCGTTGCATTGGATCCGACTGGATCAAAGCCCTGATCAGATCCTGCGCGTTCTGGCTGGGCCTGCAAATCCGCCCAGCAGCGAGCTTGAGTTTGATGGGCTAAAATGATTTAAGTGACAGGCACAAGGAGCAGTACCGGATATGGTGCATGTTTACATGGCACAGGTCACGCAGCACCTCCGCCCCGCTGGAAACTGCACGGAGGCACGGCGGATTTGTGCGTCGATCGGCTCGCCCAAACCATCAAAGGGATAGGCACCCACCAGCATCACGTACAAAACCTGGCTAAACAAATTCATGGAAATTTCTGAGAGGCCCTGATAGTATACAACAAGGAACCCCCAAGATAGTATCGGTAACTCTCTAGGTCCCTATAGTTGGGTTTCCGATAACAGGGGCCCCTTATTGAGTAGCCTCTATGATATAAGGACCGCAAAGTAAGGTACCCTTATTTCCGGAAACTCTAAGCCCTTATAGAGCCCGTTAAAGGTAACCACTGTGGTACCCTCATAGTAACCCTTTAGAGGAGCCCTAAGGTACCCCTTATTTTCCGAAACACCTTACAATAATCCCTTTTATAGAACCCTATATTACTTCTGCAAGGGCTAAGCCCAAGCGGCCACGCCCAGGGACCAGAGATCCACTCGCTCGTCGTAGCCCTTGGCAGCCTGGAGCTCCAATTTTGCTTTTTCTCGATTACTATTACTACGAATAGGGGATAGTGATATTAATATTCATATTAGTCATATTAATAATTTTAACATTCATGGAAATATGTGTAGTAGTATTGGCTCATTATATAGTATTCTAGTATTACTATGTCTCAAGATCTCTCAGAGCCCCCGGGGTCCGCTCGGCCTTAAAGGGATCAGACACCTCCGGAGCCCAGTACTGCGGTGTTCCAACCTGAGCCACTGTCCAGCAACATGCTCATGCACTGATGCACCATTTCTGCTGTAAGAATGACGTTTGGCACAGGGCCCCAAACAAGCTGCAGTCTCGTCTGCTTGCTGCAATTGGAAAGGCAAGCCGCGCGAGTCAACGCGGTGCTGTACCCGTCGTGGATGAGCTTGGAATGTCCAAAGTCTGACAACTTGATCTCCAGAAGGCCCTGTCTAGAATTCTTCTGGTCCTTAGACTCTTGTTAAGTTCTTACACTCTAGCCTCGAGCACACCTGCATCCCATGCAAAAGCAAACGACGTACCCCGGATGCAACACAGGCGCGACCAGGATATTCTCGGGTTTCAGGTCCCGGTAGACAATGTGCTGCGAATGAATGTACTTCAACCCCTCCGCTATTTGGATGAAGACCTGAAAGGTTCGGTGCTGCATGCTGCAGTCCCGGGCTGATTCCACGATATCGGCCACGTGTTAGTGTCTCCGTCTGTCTGTCTCCCTGTTCTCTGATCTGTGCTGCTCTGCTGCATAGCGCGCCACGGGCTCGGTGAACGAGCCTATGTTTACGATGTGGTCGAACAGCTCGCCTCCCTCCACAAGCTCCATCACCTCGCGCCGAGCTCACCAAGCACAAGCTTCCGAAGGCCCTAGGCCCTAGGCCCACAGTCTTGCACGGAGCAGTCTCACATTCTGTGACAAGGTCACCAGATGGAGGTAGTCCTGGCTCTCGATGGATTCGAAGAGTGACACGATTCGGTTGTGCCGCAAAGAAGACAGGATCGATACCTGCAACAGCGACTTTGCTGCAGTGAAACGATGGGCCCTGGGCCCCCTTTGCTCCTGGCCTCTCTTTGCAACTTCTCCGAGACTTTTTGAAAGTTTGGCTGCAGCCGGAGCTTGCCTATGTTGATGCTCTTGACCTGCAGACGCAGAAATTCCCAAGACCACCACCGAACAGCTGCTGCAGCCTGCCCTTCACCGCTGCTGCGGATGTGCCCACTGCGCTAAGACTCCGGCGGCGAACTGCTTGCTGTCCTTTTTGCGTACACACCTCGCTGCCCCACCGCGTCTTGGCTTGATGCCTATGGCAGTGACTACCCCGCCTGCACACCGTCGCAGTTGCCCCCGAGCCAAGCTCTTCACCCATGACATACTTCTCGGGATCCTCCTCCGAACAGCATGCTGGATCACCGAAAGCCGAACTGACTTGCTGTGAAGGCTTCGCCAGCCAAGCCCATCCATGGCATCCTTGGGACCGAAGTGGTTTGCCGTGGTGGCTGCCGATGCAACCTGGGCTTAGGCTCTGCTGAGAATGTAGCTGTATGTCACATCGCACAGCCAGGAGACGGCAGCCGCTCCGGATGGCGTGGGCGGTCGAGACTTGGCAGCAGCCTCGGACGCAGCGGCTGCCGCGTTCCCAGTGGCCGCATCACTTCCCACCACAGCAGCAGCATCCTTTTCCACGCCTTGGCTGCGTAGGTGCTACACTGCCGGCCAGGGTTCACCACAAAATTCCCCCAAATGCTGATCCTTGAAAACAAGTCCAGAAGCAGCCCGCCCCGTGGAATGCATCACTAAAGCTGGCTGCCAAGCGGCGTCTGCGCTCCAAAGGTTTTAAGCTGCATGCTTCAGCAAAGTCCTCCCAGTTCTCCAGGATCTCGTGAACCTCGCATGATGTCGCTGGCCAGGCTGCCAT